CTCCCGAAATATATATCCCGATCCCGATCCCGGCCAATCTCAATCCCGAGCCGGGATCCGGGATCGGGATCGGGATGTGCATCAGATCCCGATGAAAATCCCGACTTTATAAATTGACTAGAAGTCTGCGAAATAAAGTTAACAGAAGAGGGGAGGCATGAAAGTAAGAAAAATTTTCGACTGCGGCGCAGAAAATGGAAGAAATTTGTCATCTTGACATCCCAAATTCTCAAAATTTTCGCCTGCGGCGCCGCAAAAATGAACGAAGCTCTTTTTACAACTTTAACGAAATACTGATGATTTGGTGTGATATCGTGGGATCAAGAAGGGTTGAGGGGAGTATCGGTGGATTTAGAGTATAGAGGGATATCGGTGAATTTAAAAGGATTAAGTTAGATTTGAAGAGAAATCGAGGGCTTAAGAAATATTACTACATGAATATATCACTTAATCCCTCAATCTCAGTTCTTAATCGTCCACATTAATCGTATAGACTTGAACGCACTTAATCGTATAGACTTGAACGTTTAACTTTGAATTAATCTCCATTCCAAATCCCGATCCCGATTTCGGCCAATCCCGATCCCGTGTCGGGATCCGGGATCGGGATCGGGATCACCATTCCAAAATCCCGATCCCGGGTTTTTCTCTAAATCCCGATACCGCTTAACTCTACTTGATACCATTAAATAGAGGAAAAATTTCGAGATTTTAGAATCAAGGGCTCTACAAATTTTCAAAAATCAGAATTTTTGACCGATTGATAAAAAAGTTATGATATAAAAACCAACTTTTTCAAAAAAACGTGATTTTTTGGCACTTTTTCGAACATAACTTTTTTACCAGTTCGTCAAGATTTTTGATTTCCTAGTATATGGTAGATTATTTAATGCTCTATCAAATAGTACCAGGAACATTAAAAATTATCGGCCCCTTCAAAAGTTATAGGGCGCGCGACTGAACTGAGCCCAGACTGAAACGAGGTGTACATGTTAAATGGCTTGAGCTGAAACAAATGGGATCAATCATCGTGATCTAACAATTAGGACAATCTTGTTTTTATGAAATAGAGATGATTCCATGGGCGGCAGGCGAAAATTTTAGAAGGCCAAGTATCGAAATTCCTTCATTTTCAGCGCCGCAGGCGAAAATTTCGAGATTTTAAGAAGGCCAGCGAGCCAAAATTCTCCTTTTTCTAGCGCCGCAGGCGAAAATTTTTTGATTTAGAAGGCCATGAGCCAAAATCCTCTATTTTCCAAAAATCCCGCAAAATTCAAAATATTTTGCGGGATCCCGCATGCGGGATTTTTTTCAAAAAGCTTTGCGGGACGGGATCCCGCGGGATAAATCCCGCAAAATCCCGCATCCCGCAAAATCCCGCAAATCGAAAAAAGTGCGGGATTGCGGGAGCGGGATCCCGCAAAATCCCGCGCGGGATCCCGTCCCGCGCCGGTCTCTAATACATACATATACTAGTGATGTTCGGGAGAGGAAAAAACTCGGGAATCGGGAAACGGGAGTCGGGTCGGGAAATGACCTCGGGAGTCGGGATCGGGAGTCGGGAATTTACAATAAAAAAATTTTTGGCACCTTCGGCGCCAAAAATTCCGGTTTTTTGCATTGCAAGGGAAAATTATGAAAATTTTGGAAGGTCAAGAGTCCAGACATCTTCCTTATTAGCGCCGCAGGCGAAATTTTTGAGAATTTTTGAAGGCCAAGCTGTAAAATTTCTTCATTTTCAACGCCGGGGGCGAAAATTTTGAGAATTGGAAAGACAAGGAGCTAGATTCATCCTTTTTCTGCGCCGCAGGCGAAAATTTTTTAAATTTGGAAGACCAAGAAGACAAATTTTTCCTCCCTCAGCGCCGCAGGCAAAAATTTTGAGAATTTTGGATGGCCAAGAAGGCATATTTCTTCATTTTTCAGCGCCGCAGGCGAAAATTTTGAGAATTTTGCAAGGCTAAGAGCTCTGATATTCTTTATTTTCTGCGCTGCAAGCAAAATTTAGAAAAATTTGTAATGATTTCTTCGATTTTCTGCGCCGCAGGCGAAAATTTTTGAAAATTCATGACTAAATTAATTTTTCTACAGTTTTTTGACGTTTATAATATAGAAAAAAATAATTGTAAAATTTTAATATCAAAATAAATGTTAAAAACCATTTATTTTTGGATGGAAAAATTATTTAAATAAAATACTCCAAACCCGGATTCGAACCTAGACCAATCAAAGTAACTTAGGCACTCAACTTAACCACTCGACCACCTCTCAACAATAGTTGTCAGGGAAAAAATTAAATATTTTATTTTCCCTTTTTTTATTTTTTCTCTTTATTTTTTCCCTTCAAAAATAAAATTTTATCAGAAAAAGCCATTCTTAGGGGTGTAAAAATTTCCCGACTTAGTCGGGAATTGCCATCGGGAGTCGGGGTCGGGATCGGGAGGCCAAAAACTCGGGAAATTTCCCGAGTCGGGTGTCGGGAGTCGGGATACCCGAACATCACTAACATATACCAGTTGGAATATGAAAAGGTTTATTGGTATATGGAAAAAAGGGCGGCAAGATGTCAAAAACTTTTGGGAATATTTATTTGATTGACAGATAGGAAGGAAAAAATATTGGGGAATGAATGTTCATGGGCAATAATTTGAATAAAACATTAAAGGAAAAATATTTGAAAGACAAAGTAGGGCATTATTTAAATGTTTTGTGAGAGGGAAAATGAATAAAAAATTATGGGTAATATTAAATATTAAAAAATATTAAAAAAATCAACCAAAAAGTTCAACATTTTGGTGTAAAATGTGCTTATTTAAATTGGAAAATATTTGAAAAAAATATTATTTCCTTATTTTTTTAAATAATGAACAACTAAAAATTTTAAAATTTTGCATATAAGGAGTTGGTAGAGATGAAAAAAGGGGGAACATAAACGAGACTATTAGGGTGTCCATAAGTTCTTGCTTTTTAGTGTTTTAGATAATTGCTTATACTCACATCTACTTTTAGAATTTCGTTGATTAAAATGTTTTCTCTTCCACCTGAAGCTCAACTTGATGTTTTAAAATGTCTAAAGTTCGAGCAATTATTCTCTCTTAAACAAACCAACTTTTACTTTCGCAATTTAATTAATAAATACGAGGGCGGATTGGCTCGAATAAAATTCTATGAACTCTCATTGGTATAAATTTTGACGAATTTTTTGAGATATAATGGTTTTAGATTAACGCCAAAACTATCGATAGTCAGGATGTAATCATTAAACTTAATCCTGTAGTTTCCGATTTTGTTTTGGATGATCAACTTATAAAAAAGGTTACAAAAAATTTTTTGATAAAAATAGAATATTCGGATATAGTGTAGTGTACCGGTGGTAAAAGTTCGGGACGTGACATATGTCATTCGATTCGTCTCGACGAGCTGAGTCGAACGTTACCACTCCCTACTTTAGGAAATAATTCTAGACCGAGTTATAGGCCCCGAAAAATCGAAAAACCAAAGGGGGGACCAAGCACTTTTTTGGGGTGAAAAATTCGAAAATGCAAATTATACCTCATTCGAAAGAGCTCGTCGAGCTGAGTCGAATGACACCAAAATCAACGAAATCCGACTTGATTTGACAAAGTTATGACAGTTTGTTTTAGCTCCTTACCTATGACATATTTGGAGATTTTTGCTGCTACGGAGGCCCCAAATATGACTAGAGCAAGTGAGATAGGAATAGGTTTATGTTACGAGCCCAGACCCAGCGCCCGTAGACTCCCCGCGAGGCGCGTGCCGCAAAACCCCGCGCGAAGCGCGGGGTTTTGCACAAGCGCCTCGCCGACGCCCCATAGGTTTAGGTTTTAGTTTTTCTATCGTAACTTTGTCTAATCTTGTTCAATCAAGCTGATTTTGGTGTCTTTCGACTCAGCTCGACGAGCTCTTTCGAATGAGGTATAATTTGTATTTTCGAATTTTTCACACCAAAAAAGTGCTTGGTCCCCCCTTTGGTTTTTCGATTTTTCGGGACCTATAACTCGGTCCAAAATCATTTCCTAAAGTGGGGAGTGGTACCATTCGACTCAGCTCGTCGAGACGAATCGAATGACATATGTCACATCCCGAACTTTTACCACCGGTACACTACACTATATCCGAATATTTTTATTTTCAGTGGAAAACAGCGATAACTGAATCATTTACGTTATTTTCACATAATTTTGAAGATTATGTTGAGGAATTTGCAGTTAGGATTCAAAAAACAGGTTTTTGATATACATAAAATAAAGTGGAAAAATTAATTCTTTTTATTATAGAGGATAGATCTTTTCTTAAATGCTTTTCTATTCCCATGTGTTCATTACAATACCCAGGTATTGGCAATTCTTAAGCTGGCCCCCCCCTTTTTTTCTGTTCCCCTGACCATTTTGAGCTTTTTTGCTTGACATATAATTTACTATATATCATTCGAAAGAGCTGTTCGAGCTGAGTACAATGATACTATGATCAGTTCGATTTGGAGATTCTGAGCAGAATTACGAAGCTAAATCCTCGATGGACGTGCTTTTTGTGATGTTGAAAGGGACTAAAACAAATGCTCATAACTATGTTTTTTAAGTCGGATTTCGATGAATTTAGTACAGTTCGACTCAACTCAAAGACCTCTTTCGAATGATATATAATTTACCATAAAAAGTTTAAAAATCAAAAAATAGAAAGGAAAAAAAGGGGAGCCTGGAATTACCCAGGTATTTAACCTGATAAAAAAATTTTTTATATTGCATATTATTTAACTTTGAATATCAATTTAGACTTGTTACCGCATTTATTCTAACAGCTTCAGAATTACCAATACCACTAAAACACTTAGACTATGGCGCTAAACTGTATTTTATTTGCTGGTATTAGAAACTGGTTTTGTTAGAATAAATGCGGTAATTATCAGAGATGTGGGCCAAACGCCAATTTTTCAATTTCTTAAAAAACGCCAAACGCTATTACGCCAATATATTGGCGTAATGGAAACCAAAACGTCAAAATGCACTGCCAAAACGCAATGGCACACATCCTTGGTAATTAAGACATTCTTCTATTTAGAGAACAAAACCCCTCGTTATATTCTGAAATTGCCAAACAATCTAAAAACTATAGAGGAAATGATTACTATTCGATTTTGGTTAGAACAACTTTTTAACTGTTGTTTTGAAAATGCCAAGTTTAGAAATATTATGTTTAATCCAAAAATGTTTAATTTATTATTTGATGATGATAAAACAATTGTTAAACAATTTCACATTCAAAGTCTCGCTCTAAGCGGCAATCATACAATCGAAAATATTTTTGGTTTGTCTCTAAAACATTTTGCAATTTACGAGTCTGTTGGTTTTACAAGTCTTCAAGACTACATTTTTGAACAACAAACAAATATTTTATTCAATATTATAATAAATGAAGGCTATAGATTATTAAAAGTTTCTTTCGGTTTTTGTGATTTTTCAAAGCTTTATGATCTTATTGTTGAAGTAAGTGAGGATCTTTTTAAAAATTCTAATTTAAATATGCCATAGTAAAATAGGGAGAAATTGAGGAAGGAATAAAATCTGTATTAAGAAATAAATATTATGGGGGAATGGAAATTGGAACAAAAATTGTTACCTCTACTAAGGTGTTAACTAAGACTGTTCGCTAACGGCTGCTTTATACTAGTCCTACACATAGTACCTAACAAGGCTCGGCGATTTCGCATTTTCGCGTTTCGCATATTTCGCGTTTCGCATATTTCGCATTTTTCACATTTTTTGGCGCGAAAAGTTTCGAATTCCGAATTTCGCTTTTTATTTTTTGATTTTTCCCAGTCCTGGTACCTAACAACCTCTATTTAAAAATTAAAACTGAAAATAAATTTAAATTTTAGTATATATCAACATTTAATGATGTTTCAAAAATAGTGACTCGTATACTTTTACATTATGATTCATTAAAAAATTTTAAATTGCCTGAGAGAGCAGAAAATGTTGAAACTGAACAATATAATGATCAAAAATCTACAAAATACCAAATTATCATTAATTCAAAAGTGAAATTTTCATTTCACACTCTTGAAGGACCATATTCTATTGTTTTAATCGAAAAAATAAAAAAAGTATAATTGTGAGGATATTACAAAACCGTTAATTAATTGGAAAACGGAATGAAATATTGTTTAATTTTTCATTGATTTTAAATAAAACTATTTTGTCTTGTTTATTTAACTACATCATGTTATGTCCGAGGGTCGGACGAAAGTCGACGTGCAATAGATTAACAATTTATCCAAAGAGAAATAACAATGGGAATAATCTCGGAAAACGAACAGATCCGAAATAGGTCGAATTATATGTCATTCGAAAGAGCTCGTCGAGTTGAGTCGAATGACGAAAAAATTTTCGTGGGTACTCATAGAGGGGCTGAGATATAGGGCTCGAAATGGTCAAATTTATGGGGGGATTTTTGGGGTGAAAAATTCGAATATGCAAATAATAGCTCATTCGAAAGGGCTCGACGAGCTTAGTTGAATGACACCTCAGCTCGATTGGATGATTATAAACAAAGTTATGATCAACAGAATCTTCGCTGGAAAAACTTTTTGTGCTGCTACGTAGGGTAGGTAGGGTACTTATATTGTGCTGCTACGTAGGGTACTTATAGCCGGAAATTAATGTTTGTAGCATATTTTAGGTCTGACCCTTTTAATATTTTGAGGAAAGAAAAGGGGGATTTTCTTGAATATAAAATACTATAAAAGCTTTTTGTTTTATTCATTTTCATCCTCCTTTTAGCACCTCTCAATTTGTTACTTCTTTTTTTTTGTTTAGAATTTCAAATGCTTTCTCTGCCGCTTGAAGTTCAACTTGATGTTTTAAAATGTCTTAATTTCGAGCAATTATTTTCTCTCAAACAAACCAACTTTTATTTTCTCGATTTAATTAATAAATATGAAGGAGAATTGGCTCGAATGGAGTTCTATAAACTCTCTCTGGTAAATAATAACTTTTGATTTTGATTTTAGAATTGATTTTAGATTGACGTCAAAACTATCGACAGTCAACAGCCTAGTCCTTTTGTATTCATGGATCTTGAACCTTTAGTTTTTGAATTTCTTCTGAATGGGCAACTTGTGGAGAAGGTTGGAAATGAATTATTTTTAAATTTTATTTTTTTTTCAGTGGAAAACAGCAATAGCTAAGTCTTTTCCATTGTTTATACATGGAGCTGAAGATGACTTTACAACTGCTGTCCAAATAAATAAAACAGGTCTCTCCACAAATCTTTCGGCCCTATCTGAATAAGAGGGCGCTTTGATTTTTTTCATCATTTTTTCCTACCTTAATATGTAAATAATGGTCAGTATTTTCTTCCTCTTTAAATTCCACTCGTTATACCTGTGGCATATTCAAGTGAGAGGACAGACAAAGCACACACACGGGCAGACAAAACACGAGTGTTTTCTGTCCGAGTCCGCCCGTGGTCAGTCTTTTCTTCCTCTTTGAATCCGTCCATGCTTTGTCTATCCTTTCATTTGAATATGCCACAGGTTAAAAGAGTGGAATTGAACGAGGAAGAAAAGACTGACCATTATTTATATATTAAGGTAGGAAAAAAATGATGAAAAAAATCAGATAGGGTCAATCTTTCTTTATTAATTAAGATGTTTTTTTATATTTAGAAGACAAAAACCCTCGTTATATTTTGAAATTGCCAAGTATTCCAAAAAATTTGGAAGAAATGATTATTGTTCGATGTTGGTTAGAGCAGCTGTTTAATTGTGCTTTTAAATCTGTTGATACTGAATATATTATATTTAATCCGCAAATGATTAATTTATTATTTGATAATGACAGCACAATTGCTAAACAATTTCACGTTAAATTGCTCTTTCTATTCGCTCAAAAAGGAAATCCTAGTAGACATTCACTTGAAAATTTTATCAACTTTGGGAATGCTAGTGATAATTTGTTTGAAAATTTTCTGGACTTTGGTTTAAATTATTCCGCAATTTATAAGAAGTTTGTCATCATTGAGAGCAACATTTCAGAGCCCCATGCAAATATTTTATTCAATATTATAGTAAATGAAGGCAAAAAATTACCTGCAGTTTGTCTCGGTTATTGTGATTTTTCAAGTCTTTATGAGCTTATTGTTGAAGTAAGAGTTATCTACAGGGCTGGGCTAATTTCGCATTTTCGCCTTACGCATTTCTCGCATATTTCATTTTTTTTGCGCGAAAAGTTTTGCTTTCCGCATTTTATTTTTAGATTGCGCCCAGCCCTTTATCTATCTATTTTAAAAATAATTTTGAATTTTAGTATGTAACAACATCTAAAGATTTCTCAAAAATGATATCCAATGTTTACTTACTCTATGATTTTAGCGAAAACGTTAAATTGTCCGAGAAAGCAAAGAATGTTGAAACTAAGCAAGTAGATGACTCAAAATCTACAGAATACCAAATTGTTAATATCTATAATCCAAAAGTTAAACTCTTATTTGCCAATGTTGAAAAAGGAAAATTTTTCCATACTACGATTAGAAAAATTGAAGAGTAGAATTTGAGAGGATATTATAGGGAATAAATTAGAGTAGAATATTATTGGGAATAAATTGTTGAAGAAAATATTATTTAATCCTCATTTATTTTGTGTAAAATTTGTTGTCTTGTTTATTTATTTCCATCATTTTAAAGCAGTTAGGTAATAGTTTGGAATTCGCCCCGGTACTTATTGGTTATCCCAAAGTAGTTTTTGCGGACATTTTATGCGGACTCATTTTTGCATGAAATGGTCAAAGGTTCTTTCTTCCTTGATTCTCTCAATTTTCCCTGTGCTCTCATTGAATGAAGCCACAAGGAAAATTGAGTGGAATCGAGGAAGGAAGAACCTTCTTGCTTTGATGGGCGGAAGAAGCTTTGACAATTCCGTGCAAAAATGAGTCCGCATAAAATGTACGCAAAACTACTTTTGGATAACCAATAAGTACCTTCGCCCCCCTTTTTTTCACCGTTACCCTGACCATTTTGAGCTTTTTTGTTTGATACATAATTTATTATATATCATTCGAAAGCTCTCTAGAGCTCGGTCGAATGATACCATGATTGGCTAGATCTGATCATTCTTACCAAAATTATGAAGCTAAATCCTTGTTAGGCCAACTTTTTGAGACAATCCCCCATCCAATTAATTTCTTCTAAAAATCTTTAAAAATTATTTTTTTCTATTTTTTTTTTAAATTTAATTTTGGATATATAAATTCCAAAAAAATTAAATTAAAAGTCAAAGGGAAAAAAGAAAAATTTTTTAGAATTTAAAATGCATGTAGAAATTTATTTTAAGAAAAAAGGGATTATTTATAGAATTATGTCTTTTGGCACAAAAAGGGAAAGAAAAATGCCTAAAATGTGTAAAATATTCTTTGGTTTTTAATTTTATTAACTTAATTTAGGGGGAAAATTTTTCTTTTTTTATATTAAAAAATGTTTTTTATAAGGAAATAGGTGTGTTGATAAAAAAATTAATAAAGAAAAAAATGTCAAGTCAACAAATAATTAATCATCATTTTTGGAGGGTAAGTGACTAATTCTTTTATTTTTTTTTCTGAGAGAGAAATAAGGGAGAGGTAAATTTAGAAAAATTTATTCGCAAGGGAATGCTTTTTAAAATTCATAAATGACCTAGTTTTTCAATTTTTTGCCTTATTTTTGGCCAATTTCGCCCTATTTTTGCCTTATTTTTGAATCGTTTCGCCTCATTTTGGTGTTTTCGAAGGGGACACCCTGATATTTTCATCAAGGGACATGTCCAAGTAGGCGCGCGGGTAATTCTTGCGTTCGTACCCCCCTTTTTTTCCTCCCTCAGAGTATTAAAAAATGGTAAGTCAGTCTTAGTTTATAGAACTCGTCGAGCTGTGTCGAATGACACCAAAATCGACCCCCGGTCTTAACTTTGGGCCGAGATGCAGACAAAAAACCTGCGCAAAGCGAAAGGTTTTGCATAAGCGTCTCGCCCACAAAAGGATTACTTTATGTCATAACTTTGTCAAATCTTGTTCAATTACATTGATTTTGATGTCATTCGAATCAGCTCGATAAGCTCATTCGAATGAGCTATTATTTGTTTAATCGAATTTTTAGTCCAAAAAATGAGCTTGGTCCACCCTTTTATTTTTCAATTCTCGAGGGTCTGTCAATTTTCGAGGCCCAAAGTTAAGACAGAGTGTTGATTTTGGTGTCATACGACACAGCTCGACGAGTTCTATAACCCCATACGGACTGACCATTTTTTAATACTTTGAGTAAGGAAAAAAAGGGGGGGGGGGTACGAACGCAAGAATTACCGGCGCGCGAGCAAGTAGGCGCAAAGCCGTAACTTGCTTGAAAATTTCTTTAACTTAGCAATTTTGGCACCAATCTCTTTAGCTCGATGAGAGGAATCGTTTAATACTAAATATTGAAAGATTCGGAAATCTTGAAACAAGTTATGGCTTTGCGCCGTAATGGCCTCGCGCCTAACTGTACTCATTCATTAAATTCGGGGGGACTCAACTGTCCATTTTTCCAAAATTTATTTTTTTGGCATAATGTTATTTTTTAACAAAAATATTTTTTTATCATCATTAAGGGAATCTTCTTCTTCTTTCTTAAAAGAATTGATTAACTTTTAAAAAAGAATAGAAGATGTCACAGCAACGTTATACTACCACATCCTCATCAATTTTATCTTCAAGTCCATCAAAGCAACTAACAGTAATTGATGTTTACGATTTGGCTGAGTCGATAAATAGAGATTTTGAAATTTTGGTTGAAAAATATGGAAATGATTCTTTTGAGTCGATTGTTGGAAAGGTTTGTGAGGAGGGGGAGGGAAGCGATTTTTTATTACTTAAAAAAATTTTTTTGCGGATTTTTTATTTTGCGGATTTTTTGAATAATTCAATGACATACTTTTGAGTTGTTTGCAAATCCCCTCCCCCTTCTGTTTCTTTACTTTTTTCCATATATTTTTTTAAATAAATTTAATCCTGATTGACAAGTAACACTGTTTTAGGAAAAAAAATGACCGCAAACAAACAAAAAAAATGTCCGCAAAAAGAATGTCCGCAATAAGCATCCGCAAAGTGGTATGGATCAGGGATGTCGTGGGTTAAGAAAAAATCGTGTCGGGTTTTGTGTCGAAAATCCGGTTTGGTTTTCTAGTATCGGGTTTCGAGTAGCCCGGGACCTCCCTATTGGGAATAGCGGAACGCTTTGTGGGGGAATTTTCAAAAAATTATTTTTTATTAAAGGTAATATCAGCATTAGAAACTTTGGAGGCTTTAGCTAAATACAATGATAAAGACAATTGTGAAATTATTGATTTACAAAAAACTATACAACGGTTTGAGCAAGAAAAACAACAGAGAATTAAAGATAAAGAAATTTTGGAAAGGGTAAGGAATTTTTTTTGAAATTAATTTTTGGAAAAATTTTTGGAATTTTTTTTATTTTCAAAAAAATTTTTTTTAATTCTTGAAAATTTTTAAGAATTTTCCTGAAATTTTTTTAAAAGTTTATTGGTAATACTAAAGCTTTTGGGCCCCCTTTTCCATTCCTTTCAGGCTTCCTTTTTATATTCCGCTTGTTTCTTGCCTACCTAAAAATTTCTGTTCCTCCTTCATTGTTTGAATTAATTTTAATTAATGGAGACCCACAAACTTAAGTATTATCTTGAATTTTTTAAAAGGATTTTATTGAACTAGAAGACAGCTACAAAAAAGAAATTGATGATCTCTGCAAAATTGTAAAAAAATTTTCTCTTAAATTAGGAAAATTTTTTTTAGATCCAAAAATTGCAAACCGAAAATAAATGTATGAAAGAACAATTATCTTCTGGAGAGGATGTTAAAAAAGAGGAAGAGAAGACTGGTAAATTTTTTTATTTTTCAATGAATGAAAACAGGCCCGTAACCAGGATTTTTTCGGGGGGCCAAGAAGGGACAATTTTTTGCGCCGAATTTTGAGAATTTCGGAGGCCAACAAAATTCACTTTTTTGGCAGTCCCCGAGTTTATATAAGCTTTATTTTCTCGTGTTGTGGTTTAGGCTTTTTGCCTATGTTTGTGTAATGTGTCCGGTTCGATTTGTCCTTAGGTTTTTCCTTGGGGGCTTGTTTTAATTTTTTATTTTTCAAAAATATTTTTGGAGTTCCCAAAAATTTTTCTAGGTATTTTTGAGTTCATTTTTTGATCCTTTTTAATAAAATATAGAAAAAAATTTTTTTAAAGAAGATGTAGTCGATGAACAACTCCAAACACTTGTAGAACTCCGCAAAATGACACACACCCAAAAAGATCAAATAAAACAATTACAAAAAGATTTGGATACTTATTGTTGTGAAGTTGAAAGTTTGAGAGAAAATATTGAGAGATTAATTAGGCAAAATAAAGAATTGTTGAGGAAGAATGGGTCGTTACAGGTTTTTTTTGTTTGGAATTTTTGTTTAATTTTTTAAAATTTTTTTAAGAAACAAGGAAGAATGCTTTTGTTGGAACGTGCTGAAATTCTTAAACGATTACAGGTTTTTTAAATAAAAATTTTTTTGTAATTTTTTGAGAAGAGGTTGTAGAGGAGTTCATTGACCATACGTAAGACAATTTTTCTTTTCCTATTTGGTTGATCGAACCAAATTTTGGACAATGGGAATTCTCAAATACGAGAATTTATTTTTAATGTCGGCAGGATCCTTCGCGTACCAGTATTTTTTGGCGGGTTCTCTCCTGGCTACGAGCCTGAATGGACAAATTTATGGACAAATATTGTATAAACCGCTATACGAGGGATCCTTCCGACATAAAAAAAATAAATTTTTATTTTCGGGAATTGGGGATTCCCGGCCCAAAATACGTGTAAAATTTCCAATCCTTGGGAATCGTGACGGCAGGATCCCCGACCCTCACCATTAACATCTCAAAAATTAAAGTCTTTACGGCTGGAATGGATGAAGGGATCCTTCCTTATATTTCATTTTTTGAAGCGAATTTTACTTATAAAATTAAATTTTCTTTTTTAGCAATCAGAAGAAAATACTTTACAACTTCGACGTGTTTTGAACGAAACAAACAGAGCCTGTAAAGATTTGGAAGTTCAAAAACAATGGGATGAAGAGACAGCTTTAGCTGCAATTACTAAAGGTCAACAATCTCCTCGATTTTCTCTTTCAGAATTGAGGGATGTCCTTCAAGAGAAAAATGCTTTAAAAGTTAAAGTTTTGGAATTGGAAGAAAAAATGGAGCAAATTAGGGCTTCTTCACCTGGGGGAGAAATTGAAAGTAATAGAGGAACGCCTTCTCCAAATATGAGGTTTTTTAGATTTTTTAAAAATTTTTTATTATGAAAATATCTCTCGCTTTTAATGGAATAGTATGGTCTGCTTAATTGGCCAAAATATACCCTCTCGAAACTAGAGTAATAAGTCAAGGACCCCACTGATTTGGCTAAAAAATTATGGCTTAATACCGATTTTTAAGTTATATTCTTGCATTTTCTTGCAAACACGTAGAAAGAAAAATTTTTGTAGAGGGCGAGATATGAAATAATTTTTTAAATATTGAAAATGTTCTCTTTACTAGGAGAAAATCTTTCTTTAATATTAAAATAGAAGGAGACTCGCCACTCCAAAATACTGAAACTTTGATCAGCTTTAACTTTTCGATTTGGGGGTCAGGAGGAAAAAGCAAGAAATGGCCAATAGGTTATCGACCCTGCTCTACACGATAGTGCAAAATATTTTTCGAAAATTTTACATACGGTTAGGGATGTTCCTCTGGCAAAGTGTCTGGGCTCTTAATATATATACACTATCACAGTCTTTTGTCACAGTCTTCTTAGGAAGGTATTGTTTCACTCAAGTTTTCGGAGGTTATTTTGGTCAATAGGTGTTTGTCCCCTTTTGACAAAAGTAAAATTATCCCCTTTTATTGCCTTTTTCTGCTTTTGTGTGTCTTGTATTTTTTTGTTTATTCCAGTTTATCTTCTACATCACTTTCTAAACAACTTGAAGAATCTCAATTACAATACGAGAAGAAGGATAATATTCAATTTCCACAAACATCACCCCCTCAAAAACGAAAGGAAACAGAAAAGTTGTTTTTATTAAATTTTTTTGTTGCTTTTTATAGTCTTTAAGAGCTTTAATTATTCTACTTTAAATTTAGTTTTTATGGTCAATTTTCCATGTCCGCAAGTTATTGTCCGCAAATTAATTTTTTTCTTGAAATTGATGATTTTAGGTCCTCGTCTTTTCAACTTCCTACCTGTCACTAGTGAAGCGTTAGTGTCGGGGATCGACTATTTTTGTAGACTAAAGGATGGAAAAGGATTTTTCAAAGTTTTTACAACAAAAAAATTTTCTAAAAAAATTTTTTAGAAAAAAACGTAAAAATCCGCGCCTCTGTCACTTTCACCGCGGTTCCTGTTCAAATTTTTTAAATTATTTTTTGCGGACAAAATTTGCGGATTTATGTCTATAATCAATTTTGCCTTTTATCTACCTTTAATTTAAAATTAAAATTTAATTATTTTTTTAATTTAGCAGCGAAGAATGTCTAGTTTTTGGGCCAATAAATCGCGAACCTGATGAAAAATTGCATCCTTGGAAATATGAGCGTATGAACAGTGGAGTTCGTCGATTGTATATTTTTTTATTTTTAAATTTTTTTCAAAAAAATTTTTTTCAGTTTTCGTTTATTTGCTTCTATCAGTTCAACAAATTTGTCTCCTCGTCGTCCATCTGGAGCAAAATGAGAAGTGGCAAAATTTTTTGGTCTTTTCAATTTTTTCTCTGCAAATATTTTTCGGACAATGAATCTGAATGCTGCTGTGAATCTGTCAAATATTCCAATTGCTTAAGTATTATTTTTTTAAATAATTTTTATAATCAAAAAACCCCCAGATATATTTAATAACCCTTTAAATAACCCTTTTTTATTAATTACTAGCCCCTCTATATTATAACCAGGGTTGTCGGTTTCAAACCTAATCGAAAATTTCCGTTTAGTTTGGGTTAACCGAAGAATTTGTTGAATCCGACAACCCTAATTATATCCCTTTTTTAAATTACAGTCGGACTTCCTTATAGGATGGATGGCCTCATAAAAATTGGATAATTTCCAGTTTATTGGTTGCCTATTGGGAGGGGAATCTGCTTAAGCAAGACTCCCAAATTTTGAAAAGATACATACCCCTCAAAAGTCTTTCTTATAATGAGGTCCGACTTTATACTATCATAAATATTGTTTCTTCTTAATAAATTTATTTTTATTAAATTTAATAGATCTCTTAGGTAAGAAAATTTATAAAAAATTTTTTTTTAATTTTTATTGTAAAATTTAGCTTAATAATTAATTATTTTTTCTTTGCTTTTTTTAGTCTTTTAGGCCTTAAATAATTTTTTTTTAATTCTTAAATTTTTTAAATTAATTTAAAAAGCAGCATTTTATCTATCTCATTCTTTTTTTTAAATTCTTTTGCTTATACTAAATATATATGTAGTTGTTGATCTCATTTTTGTAATACATCCTCTCTCGGTTTTTTTTTGCTAAACTAAAAACTACACTGGTTATATATTAATTGATTAAATATATATGTAAATTTTTAAATTAATTAGAGCTTCGATTTAGTTCCTTAAAAAAAGGTCCGCAAATTTTCAAAAAAGTCCGCTAGTTTTTAAAATGTCCGCAAATTTTTTAAAAAGTCCGCAAGTTTTTAAAAAAGTCCGCAAATTTTTAAAAAAAATCCGCAAATTTTTTAAAAAATCCGCAACTTTTTAAAAATGTCCGCAAGTTTTGTCCGCAAAATTTTTTTTTAATTTTAGACCCCTTAGTATTTTATGGAAGCTCTAATTTTGCAAAAATTAAATTTTATGCGAAAGTTGTGAAAGTGTATACTAATTTTTGCTAAGCTCATAATTTTGTATTATTTTTATCGCCATCGGAATAAATTTTAAATAAATTTTTTTGTTCAAATAAAAGTGCGCATTTACCTAATTTAATTATATCTTTGATGTTTATTTAATTAATAGTATATTCAATGAGACTAATGGCTAGTCAAATAGAAAGGATAAATTATGCAAACAAAAAAGTCTGCAAAAAATTTTTGTCCGCAAGTTTTGTCCGCAAAAAATTTTTTGTCCGCAAATTTTCAACAATTTAAAGGATGATTTAAAATTATAAAAAATAATCTTTGGAAAGTTTGGAGGTAAAAATATGGCTAATATCAAACTCGAATTTATTGAAATTTGCAGCAAAAATCGAGAGAAAGTACTTAAAGGATTAAAAAATGGAAGTTATAACTTTGCGGATTAACAAGGTTTTTAATTTTTTTCTTTCCAAAAAATTTCCAAATTTGTAAATTTAATAAAATAAATTTTGTGTAATTTTTAAAATAGTTTAAAGAATTTACAAAATTAAATTTTTGTAAAAGTGCTTCCATGAATTTATTTGTCTTCGCGTTCTCCTCCTCCCTTGACATTTTTAAAGAAGAAAATTGTAAAAAAAGAAATCGTTAAGAGGCTAAATTCTTCTTTAAAATCCTCTTTTCTTTTAATTCTTTTCTTTCTATCTAGTCTGGCCTATAAGAAATTCTTCAAACAAATAAAAGAAGAAAAAAAATATTTTTTGTCTGCCCTTTATTTTTGTCTAACCACTCTCCTCTATCTACACACTATTTCTTACATTTTCTAAAATTCCCCCTTCGGCGTTTCTTTTAGACACTACTTTAAAATTAGACAAATAGAAACTATATAAAGCAGCTGGCCCAAAACAAATATTGATTTTATACACCGCGGGAAAAAAGAGAAAATGTGTGAGAGGAAAAAGAAAATTTTGGGGGAAGAGGGGGGAAGGGCTGTTTGGGGGGGGGTGTTGCCTTGCGACGGTTCTTTTTTTTCTTTTTCATATCTTTTTCTTTTAAAAATTCGTTCGTTTTACATAATATTAAAATAGTTTCCAACCTCTATTTAATATAATTTTCAGGAAGAAAAAAAATTTTTTGAGTGACTAAAAAGGAAATTTTTAAAGAGAATAGGGGAATAAACGAGCCTTATAGAAGCCTTTTTTCACTAATAGATTTATTTTTCGCATTAAAAATTTTTTTCATAAAATAAATTATTTATTAGGTTATATGTAGGAAACACAAAATATTATCTATTTTCCTGAATCAAATTTTTTTCAAATTTCATGTCTGGCACTCTCTTCTTTTTACACGCTATTTTTACCTGCTATTTTTTTTCGTTTTCTATTTTATTTTTTTTTCTAAAATTTTTTTTAGAAATTTCGAAAAAAATTTTCTGATTTTGAAATTGCAAAAATTCCTTTTAATTCTTCTGACTTTTTCCTAAAATTAATGTCTAATACTCTCTTCTTTTTATACGCTATTTCTTCTCGGTTTTTATTCATTTTTTGATTTTTAGGTGATTTTTTCAGAAAAATTTTTTAAATTTTTTAAAAAATTATTTAAAAATTATTTAAAAAAATTTTTTAAATATTTCCTTTTCAATTCTCTTTTAACTTCCCCAAAAATTAAAAAAATCTTGTTCCTTTCTTCTATTTATAGATTTATATATAAAAGTAATTATTTTACAACAAATTATTTATTTCACTTAATTCACGCACACATTAATGTACTTTTTCTTCATGCGTATATTTTATTTTAATGTGCGTCATTAAAATAGTACTTTCTAGTATATTTTTACTCAGAATGATTTTAAATTTTTTTTTATTTTTTGATTTTAATTTTTTTGTTGAATTAGTTAAGGGGGAGGGGGGAAAATAAAATAATTAATTAATTATAATTTTTGAGGGGAAGGAGACAAAAAAATTTTTTCCTTCTTTTCGAGAGTTAATCAATCAATCAACTTTTCTTTTTCAATTTATATTTCTTTTTGTTTATCCCACACACATCTTTTCGTTAAGAGAAAAAAATTTTTTGAACACCTTAAAATTGTTGGTATGGTACACTAATATTTGCGGACAAAATTTGCGGACAAAATAGAATTGTGAGGGAAGCGTTTGGCGTAGAAGGGACTTTAATAGTCAAAATCGGTAATAGTCTCGTTTCCCAGCCCCATTTTTTCCTCCCAATTTTCTACCCTATGTTTGTACGGAATGGTCAAATTTTCCCCTTTCTTTCATCAAATTTGCCTTTCCATATTTTGCCTAAAAACAATCAAAAAGATTAATTTTTTATTCATTTCTTTCGCAAGGATAAAAAAGTTCTTTTGTGGTCAGATGCGTACCTTCAAAGAAGGTACCACATAAATAACCTTAGAGTAAAGCTTTTTTTAAAAAAACTTGAAAAAAAGAACCTTGTCTTGCTCTACAATTTCTGGTTGTACACCGCCAACATCCATATCTTTCGTCTTTCTTAACACTTATTGTTGTTCGACCCCCACATTTGTAGCAAGTTCTCTTTCCATGAAGAAGTCCAAGCTTCTCAAGCCATGCATCGAAATCATTATCACTCAAACGTAATTTTTCATATAAATCAATAGGTTTGAAATTCTTTAGTTCTTCCATTTTTATTAATTGGGAAAATGATTCTTCTCATTACTCTAATACTTTTTTAAATATCACAAATTAATCTTTTTGATTGTTTTTAGGCAAAATATGGAAAGGCAAATTTGATGAAAGAAAGGGGAAAATTTGACCATTCCGTACAAACATAGGGTAGAGAATTGGGAGGAAAAAATGGGGCTGGGAAACGAGACTATTACCGTCAAAATCTATTAGTCCTTAAGCTGGAGAATTTTTTGATCATTAAAAACCATTCTTTTAGCCATTAGAGATGTCTCATAAAATTGCGGACCAATATTTGCGGACAAAGTAAAATTGTGGGAATAGCCTAAATTACGGAAGAAAAAGTATTTTAATATTTAAAAATTTATCTGTCTTCTTTTAGGAGGAATACCTTAACCTTTGTAAATCGTTTCCCCTCGTCTTTAGATTTTTTTACAAAATTTGTTCTTGTCCGCAATTTCCAATCCGCAAATTTTTCTTCCTTCATTTTTCCCTCAAAAAATTTATTTTTTAAAATAAATACAAAAATCTATATATAAAATCATAAACTAGACATATTTACATTCCGGATTTTCTGTGTCCTGACAATAAAAAAATCTTTTTTTTTTCCTATACAATTTTCCTTCATTTCTCTCTTGACCTAAATTGATGTCAGTCTACCACCAACAACCACCAATATCCACACACCTTTTTTTTACTTTTTTTTCTATTCGCGCAAATATATTAAATCCTTGCTCTCCTCCCCAATATTTAATATTTTCTTTATATTTTTAGAAAGCTTTTAATTTTTCCTAAAAAAGATTTTTTAGAAATACATACATATTTTACAAAAATAGATTTTTTAGAAATTAAAAGAGTTATGTATTTTTAGTAACTGACACTGATTTAGTTTTTTGAATTAGAATAGAAAATGGTAAAAAAATTCAAGAAAAATCCTGAAAAAAAATTCCGGCCCTTTTGCGGATAAATTTTGCGGACAAAAATTTTTTGCGGACAGATTATTTGCGGACAAATATTATTTGCGGATAAAATTTTTGCGGACAAATATTTTGCGGACAAAAAATTTTTTGCGGACAAATATTTTGCGGACAAAATGTTTTTGCGGACAAGAAATTTTTGCGGACAAATATTTTGCGGACAAAAAATTTTTTGCGGACAAATATTTTGCGGACAAAATGTTTTTGCGGACAAGAAATTTTTGCGGATAAATTTTGCAGACAAAATTTTTTTGCGAACAAAAAGTTTTTGCGGACTTTTTTTTTAATTTTTCTTTTGGGTCCTACAAAGTCGATAAGTGTATTTTACCTTTCTAGTTTAATCTTTCACAGATTTCTGGTTATCCAAGATTAATATTTGTGTATCCTCCCTATAAAAATCCTCTTTAAACCGCTACCCTCACATAGAAAAAAATTTTTTTCTGTTTCCTCCCCAACTAATTTATTGATTTTTCTTTTTATAAAAAATGATGTTAAAAGCTCTCTCCTACTACCTAAAAGTTTACGCGCATTTATTTATTTTTCCTTTAAAAAAAATTTTTTTTCTTTTCAATCATTGTTTTCTTGTCTAGAGGAGGAAGGGGTTTATTGACCTTGTCCCGTTTCTTGTTGTTCCCGTTCTTTTAGAACAAAAATAAAAAAAGATTAACATTTTATATCTCTCTATTTTTAATCGTTTTTTACTTTTTTTTATTTGTCCTCAAATAAAAAAAATTTTTTTGTGCGCTCAAAGAATTTTTTTGATAGGGCTTGGGTGTTTAATTGTTGATGTTCTGTTTCGGTGATATTTTGGAATTGTTAATTTTATTAATTCTGATTTTTGATTCAACAATGGAAAATACAAATAATTCTGATTTCTATTTGTATTTTTAAAAATACAAGGAAAATACATTTCTGATTTTCTGATTTTTATTTGTTTTCTAAACCTCTGAAAAATACATTTCTGATTTTAATTCTGATTTAACATTAGAAATACAATTAATTCTGATTTTTATTTGTTTTCTAAACCTCTGAAAAATACATTTCTGATTTTAATTCTGATTTTTATTAAACATTAGAAATACAATTAATTCTGATCTTTATTTGTTTTTTAAACCAATGAAAAATACATTTTTAATTCTGATTTTAACGGAGCGTTTTATATTGCCAAAAGCTTGTAATGCCAAACCCCCAAAAGCTGTTGAAATGCCAAAGCGTGGAAAAAAGCTTGTAATGCCAAACCCCCAAAAGATGTTGAAATGCCAAACCGTGGAAAAACGCTTGTAATGCCAAACCCCCAAAAGCTGTTGAAATGCCAAACCGTGGAAAAAAGCTTGTAATGCCAAACACCCAAAAGATGTTAAAATACCAAACCATGGAAAATTTTTATAAAATTCAAATTATAATATAATCTAATAAACAATCAATAAATAATAAACAATTTGACCAGCTAAAATGAAAATGAATAGAAAATAAATCAAAATAATAAAGTACTATAATTTTAGATTTTCTTTAAATGACCAGTTATTTTATAAATTTTCTTCATTCTCCTCAGTCGGCTCAAAAGAATCTTCGACATCACGTTCTGTATTTCTTCTGTTGCAGCCCAGTCTTCTTGCCAACTGTTCCATTTGTGATCCCAGCAAATGAACTATCTCCAATATTTCTTCATCTGTTTCATATGTTGCTCCATTGAGAATTACACGAATAGCAGCTTCTTTAATGATATATTTTGTGTTTCTTTTTCGACTCAATAGATTTTTATGAGCCTAAAATATGTATATAAGATTTAAATATTTCATCAATTAATACATGATAATTGTTCACTTGAGTGTCGATATCTTCCTTAAAGGCAAGAATATATTCAGCCAATCCTGGGTGATGTCGAAGACGATCCTGAAAGGGGGGTAAATTTTAAGCTTGCAAAATTAGAAAATACAGCGAAATGTCGATGATGACTCTCAAGAGCGTTGTTAGTGCGAGAGACTGCATTCATTGCTTGGGCATTAACGTTCCAAAAGTCCATAGAAAATTGTGCAGGATGATCAATTGGTAAATCCCAACGAGGAGTTGTTGTATTGGATAACCGCCTACCACTTCCGCTGCTGCTTGGCATTGTAGGAGTGCTTGGTTCAGAATCAGGTTGACCGAAGGTTATATTGGCTGGTTCAAAATTTGTAGACAAAGAAGTTGAAGCAAAGGAGCCAAAACGACCTATAATAAAATTGTCATTTAAAATAAATAAGATATTCACATTCAGAAAGAGATGGAGAAGTTGCTAAACCATAACCAATATGGGAGATCCGTTCCATTTCAACTCCTGGTCTAAAAGCATTAGAACCCAGCTGATTTTCAAATTCTGTCATTCCAATGTAGGTGCTACAGAAGTATGCAAAATAAGCTTCAAGTCCAAGAGGAGCTTCATCAATTAGTAAACAAAAAGCATGTCGCACGTGTTGAATTGGTATTAAGGGTAAAGCAAGTAGACAACTAAAATAATTAATACAAACTAATTAATAAATAAAGCTGACCGAAAAGACTCTCTCGCTTTTTTTCCAACTTCTCCACCATGATTCACTAATTGTAAAAGTCCCATTTCTTGCCATTTTCTATACAGAGATTGCGCAAAATGGAAGAGACAGCCATTTGTTTTTATCTGGGGAAATGCTGCTTTAATTCCATTCCTCAACCCCTTCTCAAAATCTGTTAAGACATTAGATGGTGCATTTGGTGAAATTGCTTTTTTAAGTTCCTCGAAAACTTCTAAATAAGACTCTTGTAATCTTCTACTCATAAGAGCGTGCGCACAAATAATGAGCTTGTTGTCAATTTGAGCACCAATAACAAGAATTTGTTTCCATTGTTTTGGGCAAGCTTTGAAGGTAGCATCCGCTTGCCAAAGTTTTCCCTCCTTTAAAATTTCCAACCCCTATAAAATTAGATATTTCCTATTGTTAGTTATAATAAAGCAGCACCCGAGGATGAGCGAATAACAGTGTTACTTCATTGTCATTTACACGGGTTTTTCTGCTATCAAACAAAAGAATGCTGACACCGTCTTTTTCAATTAAATCCCGAGCAATGTTCATTTCCAATGGTCTTCCTGTGACAAATCCAATCGCTTTTTTGCGCACTCTTCCCGCTCGTTGTTGAATCGCATTATCTGTGCCAAATCTAACGAAAACAGTATTTAAACAATATTACTTGTGCCTTACCTAACTAACAATTCCGTATCTTCGGCTGTTCCTTTGCGTAACTCATCAGTTAATTTTTTAGTTTTAATTGTTGGATTTTCTTGTATTCGTTCGGTGAAAACCTTTCGTCGTTTTTCGACCTTAAAAAGGTTAGGGAAAATGTATAAATATAGCTGCATAAACATAAACCTCAAATCCGATAGCATCCCCCATATGATCATGCTCGCCTATTAGAATACCTCGAGCACGCTCGCCTTCAATTGAAAGCACTTTCACTTTTGCTGTACATCTTCGATCAGGGCAGCGCCAGTTTTTGCAATTTTTTGACGTCATTACATAGCGATATGCTAAAATTTATTAAAAATTAAAAAGTTAAGTAAATACACTCACAATTATACCACAAAGATAATCCTCCTTTTTGTGTTGAGCCTACAGCTAACTCAACAATATTTTCTTGTTCTTCCTCGTCCGATTCCTCTTCAGCATCTTCTCTTTGCCCTGTTGGCACAATATCTACTTCCTCAATATTCACTTCTTTTTCTCTTTCATCAATTTTTCGTCTTTTCAGCAATTGATATAATTTAGATTGAATTCTCGCCGCCATTTGAATAATAATTAAAATAAATGGAATAATAATCAAAATAAATTTAAAAAAGTAATTTATTTAAAAAAGATAAATTTAATTTCGGTGGAAATCAAAAATATGAATATATTTATCAAAATTGTACAAAAAAATAGAGCGAGAAAGAAAAAAAAAGAAAAGTCGCCAGGCACTGAAACGGCTAAGAGCAACAGGTTATTCTGCCGGGAGACGGAGCAGTTCAACTGAGTCCGCACGATTGAGTCCCCACGATTGAGTCCGCACGATTGAGTCCCCACGATTGAGTCCCGGCACAATTGAGTCCCCACGATTGAGTCCGCACGATTGAGTCCCCGTTGTATATACCTCAATTGAGTCCCCGTGGATTTAATTTTAAAAATTCCCGGTAGGGGACACTTGTGTACCGGCCGTTTGTGTACCGCCGGTTGTGTACCCACCCAAAGGGGGACGTTTGTGTACCCGCATTATTTTCCTAGATTTTTTTATTGTTTTTTTTTTATTTTTTTGTTTTTCTTTTGGGGTTTGCAACTAATTTTGTTAATTAGTTGACCGAGCATCCACTCAAGTCCATCCGAGCACTGAATTTTCTCAATGAGGACGAGAGGGAGGACGAGAATCTTGTGTAGGTAAAAGTTTTATTTTTATTTTTTAATTTTAGATTTTATATTTCAGGTTGGTCTAACTTTGCTCATCACGTGTCGGACTTCATCCCACGGCTGCAACGATGGGAAATTTGAAAAGGTTTGGAATTTTTATTTTGTTTTTCGTTTTTATTTTTAAAATTTTTTAGTTGATTTTCGTCAGTTTCTGACTGGCGATTTTCAAGTTCACAGTTTCTGAAGGAACGAAGGTGGTGAACTTAGGAGAACAAATAACGAAAGAAAGGCCCTTCTTTGGCACACTAATTGAAGCTAGACTTTGGTTTTTTTTAATTTTTTTGATAAAATTTTTAAAAAATATTTTTTTATTTTTTTTTTCACATTTTGATTTTCTCCCGTATCCAGGTAAATTCTGCCGGAGTCCGGAAATTAGGAAGGAGTTTTTACGTTCGTAATTTAGATAGTTTCCCCTACCCTCCATAGCAGCACAAAAAGTTTTTCCAGCGAAGATTCTGTTGGTCAAAATTTGTTCAGAATCATTCAATCAACTTGATTTTGGTCTTATTCAACTCATCTCGTCGATCCCTTTCGAATGAGCTATTTTTTGTTTATTCGAATGTTTCGCAACAAAAATTCCCCATGGAATTCCACCAAAAAATCCACCATTTCGAACATTAATCCCTCCAAATCCCCAAATATCCCTCTTAATCTTTTTTAATATAATTAAATCCACGGGGACTCAATTGAGGTATATACAACGGGGACTCAATCGTGCGGACTCAATCGTGGGGACTCAATTGTGCCGGGACTCAATCGTGGGGACTCAATCGTGCGGACTCAATCGTGAGGACTCAATCGTGCGGACTCAATTGAGGTGTACCGGCCGGGAGATAAATAATAAAAAATTCTACAGTCTTAGTAAAAAATTGAATGATAAATAATGTTTTGGTATTAATTTGGCATTACAAGCTTTTTTCCACGGTTTGGCATTTCAACAGCTTTTGGGGGTTTGGCATTACAAGCTTTTTGTATTACAAGCTTTGGCATTACAAGCTTTTGGCATTACAAGCTTTGGCATTACAAGCTTTTGGCATTATAACATCATACCGATTTTAATTCTGGTTTAATCTAGACTACAGAAAATACAAGGAAAATACTTGTGTTTTAATCTTATCTCTGATTAAAAATCAGAATTAAAACGAAGCTTTATATGTTCGTGTATTCTTTTTCTGATTTTTGAATCAGAAACCAATCCGATTGAATTTTGAACAAATAATTAACCTCTAAAAAATATTGGACAAAAAGAATGAGGCAGTTAAACGTCCTTATCCGTTTAATCTTTTCTCTTTTTTATTGGTCTCACGCAGGGTTGTTTTCCCTCTTTTTTTCAAATTCATTTTTATTTAATACACATTTCTACCGACAAATAAATAAATAATATAAAAATATATTTTTATTTTCCCCTCATTTTTAGCGTTTCCTCAACTACAAGCTTTTGGCTGCTGCTCTCTTCCCTTAGTCAATATATTTATTTGTTCTGTCTTCTCTAACTTATAAAAAATAAAAAAGGTTTTCAGAAATTCTTGTTTTTACCGCAATTTGTGAATCGAGACTACTAAATGAGGGAGTGAGAAAAAAGCGAGAACAATATATAAAGTAGGAGACCAATTATCCGGAATAATTGAAAATCTATAAAAACAAGAAAAGAGAACAACGAGCATATAGTGTTAGAGAAAAAAATTCTGATTTTATTAAGCAACAGAAAATACAAATAATTCTGATTTTTATTTGTATTTAAACAACGAAAATACAAGGAAAATACATTTCTGATTTTTAATTCTGATTTTTATTTGTTTTTAAGCAACAAAAATACAAGGAAAATACATTTCTGATTTTTAATTCTGATTTTTCTTTATTTTTAAGCAACAAAAATACAAGGAAAATACATTTCTGATTTTACTTCTGATTTTATTTATTTTTATTTAAGCAACAAAAAATACAATTAATTCTGATTTATATTTAACAGAAAACACAAGGAAAATACTTGTTTTCTGATTTTAATTCGGATTTTATTTTAAACAACAGAAAATACAACCTAAAATACATTTTATTTTATTTTGTCTGATTTTTTATTTATTATTTTTCTCTGTTGCCCTACCAACCAACTTTTCAACTTTGGGAAAAAAAAGGAACAGGAACAAACTTTTAATTGGCAGTTATCTACTTAAATATTTAAAAGAAAGGAATTTGACTAGAAAAATAATTTTTTTTATTTATTTGAAGAAGAAAAATAATTTTTTAAATGGCAAAATCAGAAGTTGAAGGAACTAATAATAGTGGCGGAGGAAGTGGATTAAATAATGAAAAGGCTGAAAAGGTGAAGAAAAATTTTTTAAAGGAATTTTTGAAAAAAAAATTAATTTTTAGATCCCTCTCAAATTAATTTTAGTCAGTGGCCGAACTCATGAATTTAGAAATTTTACCGCAGCCACAACTGCAGGAGATCTTATAAATGTTTTTTTATTTTTCTAATTTTTAAAAATACTTTTATTTTTTTAAAGTATGTTTTTGAAAATTGGCCAGAAGAATGGGAAGAGGAAAGAGTTACTAGTGCACAAATGCTCAAGGTTAAAATTATATCTAAGTTCTGGTTGTGTATTTTATCTAAATTCTGGTTTTGTGTTTTACATAAATTCTGATTTTTGTATTTTTTCTTAATTCTGATTTTTGTATTTTCCTGAAATTCTGGTTTTTGTATTTTTTGAAATTCTGATTTTTCTATTTTTTGAAATTCTGATTTTTTATTTTTCTGAAATTCTGATTTTTGTATTTCTTGGAATTCTGATGTTTGTATTTCTTGGAATTCTGATGTTTGTATTTTCTAAGTTCTGGTTTTGTATTTTATCTAAATTCTGATTTTTGTATTTTTTAAAATTCTGATTTTTGCATTTTCTGAAATTCTGATTTTTGTATTTTCTGAAATTCTGATTTTTGTATTTTGTTTGAATTCTGATTTTTGTATTTCTCGAAATTCTTTTGTGTTTTACCAATTCTGATTTTTTATCCTATGCTTGTGTGTTTTTGTATTTTTACAAAAATTCTGATTTTTCATATTTTAATTTCTATTTAACGTTTGCTTTGTGTTTTCTCAAAATTCTGATTATTTTTATTTTTGTATTTTTCTAGTTAATATATCATGGCCGGTTTATTCATGGAAGTGTTACGCTAGGAGCGTTGCATTTACCTGCCGGCAACTCAACGGTTTTTTAAAAACCTTTTTTTAATTTTAAACAATTTTTAGGTTATGCATCTGGTAACTAGAGAAACACTGCCTGAGCCAAATTCTAATGGTTTGTTATTTTATTTTGAAAATTAATTTTTTGGGGGGAATTTACTTGATTTTTAGGGGGATGAATTGTCATCTTTTTAAAATTTTTGGGCCTGAAGCCGTTCAAATTACCAGGGTGGATAGAAGGGGATTTTTTGCTTGTTTTTTATTAACCTTGGGACTGTCTTTAAAAAATTTTTTTGAGAAGGAATTAAAAAAAATTTTCTTGCGGACAAAAATTATTTTTGCGGACAAAACTTGCGGACATTTTATAGAACCGTTTCCCTATTTTATTTTTCCTAATTTTAATTTTCCTATATTATTTTTTGAAATTTTTGAATAAATAATCTAGAAAATTTTTCTTTTTTAGATAATCTAAAGAAATCTAAACGTGGTCGTTGTTGTCATTGTACAATTTGTTAATTAAAAATAGAAGAAAAAATACAAAAATATCATCATCAAAAAACAAAAAAAAAATATTTTTATGACCTCGTTTTCTCCTCTCATTTTGCATCGATTGACTTAAAAAATGAACAGAAAAAAAATTTTATTTTTATACCCGTCCTCTCTTTCCTTTTTTTCGCCACTTAAAAAACACACACAAACAACCACACAACTCATTTCCGGGTACACTTTATGTATTTTCTTTTTTTCTTTAAAAAACACATCTGCACATAAACCAAAAATTTTATTTAAAAAATGTGTATTTTTTCGGTAGATTAATATTGAGATTGTTAAGATTAGAGGTCGGAACAGGACAGGACCCTGTACAGGATTTTTCAGGATCCTGTCCGAAATCCTGCCTTTTTCAGTTTTCAGGATTGTCAGGATTAATCCTGCAGGATCCTGTTCTGTTCGAAAATTTAAAACCCAATCCTGATACAGAATCCGGCAAATGCGATTTTACCGACCTCTAGTTAAGATTGTTTCAACCCCAAGGGTCTATTTTCAATGGAGGTCTGACTGTATTTAATTTTAAAAATTAAACAAAAAATACTCTTGTCATTATCCCCCAAAATATATTCTTTGTTAATTCCACAAATGCAGATTTACATATGTATCTTTTTTTTTTATTTTTGATTTAAATATAATTCTCTTTTTTTTAATTTGTATGTTTAATAAATAAAAATTTTCACAAATAAACAAAAAATTTTTTTAAAGATTAAATTTTTCATCAAAATAATTTTCTAATATTTTAAGTATTGAATAAGCTTTTTGTTTAAATTAAGGGAACCTTGAGGACATGTCTGGCTTTTGTATGGCCTTTTTGTGGGCTAATTTTGGCGCTCTGTCCCATTTCCGGTACCTTCGTCATTTCCGAGCGACTTGTGATCTCTCCTTCAGCTAGTGCAAAAGGTTTTTCGGCGGCTGGGAGTAAACCAGCATCTTCATTAGACTGGACTGATGTATTATTACTTATTACATCACGCCGACTACTGCACAGGCTTAGAAATTTAATACCAATAGAAACTTCGCAATATCTTAATTTAACATTTAAATATTCGCGTAAATTAGGCTTCTATTTTAAATTTTGGCGTTCTGTTTATTTTATTTAAATTTTTGCTTTGCCCGCTTCTTATTTTAGAAAGTCTGCAAAAATTGTTTCAGGGACCGTTTTTCAATTTTGCTTCGGGCAAGACGCGTACTTCGTTACTGAAGAATGTGAAGTTTTTTTCTCCGGGCTTTTCTGTTGCTTTCTTTTCCTTGTCCTGTACTGACATTTAAACAAGTTGTAAAGAAAAAATGAACTGATGATTTTAATTGTTACTTGGTTGATTTTGCACCAAGACGGGACAAGGGAAGTAAAAGAAAAGGCGTGTAACATGTCCACAAGAAAAGCCTCTCGCATTCGTCAGTATTGTAGTTCCTATCAGAGGTCGGTCGTAATTTCAATTTTCAAAAGTTTACGAAGACCTCCGAGTTCCGACTTTTGAGCCCAGTTTCCCATTTCCGGCACCTTTGTCATTTCTGACTGACCTCTGGCTATTTTTGAATGACGGTAATCTTCATTTTTTTAATTTTTTAGATTAATTCAAATAAAACAGAGAAAAGAATGATTGGAGAAACTTCACTAGACAATTTGCCAGAAATTGTAGATCCAGAAAATCAAGAAAATTTAGATTTGGAAGAATCTCAACAAGAAGAAGAACCTACTTTAGAAGAACGTTTAACAGAATTAGTCCAAAATGTGTTAGATAAAAGTTGTGCTGTAGCAATACGTGCAATGAAAGATTTGGAACAAAAATTTTTAAATGATGAAGATACTTTGGAATTAATTGAATGTGCTAATAAATTGGTTTTTTTTAAATTTTTTGTTGAAGAAAAAAAAACTTTTTTAAAAAGGTGGAGACTATTCGTGAAGAAACTAGTCGGCAAAATAAATTTGCTTATATTCCTCCAATTCCAAATAATCATTTGGCCAGCTTTTTGTTATTACGTTTTGAAGAGGAACGAGTAAATATTAAAAAGGCGGCGATTTGTGCTTTTCAGGTTTTTATGTTTTTAAAATTTATTGCTGTCTAGACTTCTCTGGTTCAGGGGAGAATTTAGCTGGAAACCTTAAAAATTGAATTGTTTTTTGACTTGTGTCCATTCCTCTGCTTTTTCTGGCAAAAACTATGCCCTTGTTTGAAAATGTATTGCGGACTGTGTCCGCAAATGTTTGAGGACAAATGTTTGCGGACATCTATTTGTCCGCAAATGTTTGCGGACATCTATTTGTCCGCAAATGTTTCGGCAAATGTTTGCGGACATCTATTTGTCTGAAAATGTTTGCGGACAAATAGATGCATACAATAAAGATATTCGTAAACCTGTTGATCCCTTTAAGTACCACTATTTTGACTATAAAGTTATCAGAGCCAACATAAAATTTCTTTCTATTTAGGCTCTTTTCCCACATCTTGGTGATAGAGACCCAGAGAATGGTGAAGTTACTTTTGATGCTTTAATTACCACTGTTTGTGCTGATCGTCTGGCCAATAAATGCAAAGATTTGGCTTTAGCAGTCCGCAAACAAGCTGCTTTGACTCTAACTCGTTTGTTGCAAGAATATGGATTAAATGTTGAGCGTTTTCGTTCAACATGGCTACATGCAGTAATGCACCAAATTGTTGATAGAGAGCCAAGTGTGCAACAACATGCAGCTAAACTTATTTCGGTTTTATTTTTAAAAAATGATTAAGGAATTGAATTTTATATTATTTTAATAGGAAGTACTTGTGGAGCCATTACTTCGTGATTCTAATGCTAGTGGTGAATTGGTTTGGGTTTTACTTGCTGCTATTGAAGAAGAGGCGGATTTAAGGTATAATTTTGATTTTTTAGAGTTTTTGAATGTTGGCAAATTCTTGGGATTTTTGGAACTGAACCTAAATTTTTGGAATTTCTGATAATTTATAGCCACAAGTTTAAGAAGTAGTTTTTCATTTTCGGATGAATTCTGTTCTGAACCGCCTACACTAGTTTTGAATGTGGTTTAGGATCGTGATTTTTATAAAGTCTTTTTCGGAGCCTAGACTATTTCCAAATCCACTTATGGGCATGGCTACACCTTCATTAAAACCTTATAGTTAGCCCCGCACTATCCAGGAAGCCCTAAAAATTCTTGTCTTGGCTATGAAATCTGTTTAAAAAATCAAACCTTTTTCAAGACTTAGCTTGGATTTTAAGAAATATTTTACAAATTTTTTAGACGTTTATTTCTTCGAACACTTGTCCATCTACACACTGAAAAGCTACTTTCTCCTCGTATTGTCAAATTATTATTTAATCGTGCTTCCAAACAGCCTCAACAAGCCAATGCCTGTTGGATGATGTTAAGCGAACTTTCTGCATTTTTAGATGTTTTTTTTAGATTTTTTTATTAAAAAATTTTTTCCTTTCGTGTAAAGGTATCTCCAGCACCAGCAATTGAACATTGGTCTGAACATTTAAATTTGGATGAACAAAATCGTTTAATTGGTTATATGTCAAAATTAATTGCAAATCGTGCTGATTGTTTAAGTCTGCAACAACGGAATTTTCTTAAATCAAATATGGGCGATGCTCTAACAAATCACAAGTAAGAAGGGAAGGAGGAGGGTTTTTTAAAATTAAAAATTTTTCCGTGAGTTTTGGTCTTGAGTGTCTCAGCACAAGAGTTTTTTTCTAGACTAAAGGTTATAACAAGGGGAAGTATCCAGTGGGGGGTTGAGCCGAGAAATATTTGCTCGCAACTTTAAAAGTTAAATTTACAAGTAAAAAATGTACATAGGTTCTAATTGTCTATGAATTTTGTCGAGTGGTCAAAAGTGGGTAGGGATTTTGCTCATTTCACATTAAAAAAATATTTTCAAATAACTGATTAAAATTTTTTTATTTTAGAGTAAATCCTACGTATATCAACGCTGTTTATTTTGCATATGCACGAGTTTTAAAAGGCGTAGCAAAGGGAGGTTTGGAATATTCTTTTAATTTTTGATTAAAAAATAAAAATTTTCTAGGAGACCAACAACTTCAACAACCTCCAGGCCATGCAGAATTGGAACGTTTCAATCAGCGTTGGTACAGCAAAACTTTAAGAGCTCTCGATAAAACGGTTTATGAGGAAGGGGCTTCTGGAGATGAAATTGTTTCTTTTGAAGAACAAATTGAAGACCATCTTCGTTCTTTTCAATCACCTCCGGACATCAATAATGAAAATCGGGAAAATGTTATAACTGATAAACCAACGTAAGAAAAATTAATTTTTATATTTGATATTTTGTAAAAAATCTTGGGATTTTGCCTAAAGACGTTTCTCTTAGATTTTTTAAATTGTTATTGTTAGAAGGGGAGCTTTGTTGGAATTTTAGGAGTCTGTGCTTTCGTTAGTTCTTAGGTGATTGGTATTTTGGGCTTTTGAGGATTTAGTATTTCGACTTCGAAAAAAATTCGAAAAAAATTTTTAAGAATATTTGCACAAAATTTTGTGGCTTCGTGAAAATTTTACTTTTCTTCTTACTTTTTCATAATTTTTTAGTGATGACAGATTAATCCGTCTACTTACAAGTATTGGTGAATGTATTCAATATACTCCAGCTCTTATTAACAAACGTTTATTTCGCTTATTACAAGTCATTATTGCTTCGGATATGCTCAAAAAAGTTCATGCTGAACATATTGCGGAACAAGGTTTTTTAGAGAAATTTTTGAAGAAAATTTTTGAAAATTTTTTTTCAAATTTAGGCACCACTGTACTTCCATCAACTGTCATGTCACCTTCAAATGCTATGTCAGTAATGTCACCCAACACTTCTTTCCATACTGAACTTCCAGGTTTTCTTTCATTTTTTTAAAATAAAAAAAAATTCTTTTGAGGTGCCCCTTCAATTGCACCTTCTCAATGTTTTGGCAGTCCAACACATACAGTTTTTAGTGGTGCACCTGGATCTACTGTTCCAAATCCTTATCAAATACGAATTAAAAAACGAGTGTTTCATTGTAAGATTTTTTAGAAGTTTTTTGAAAATTTAATTTAATAGGTGAATTAATGACTCGTCGTGTGCGTGCTACAGCTGTTCTTACATTGGGGAAGTTATGTTTACAGGTTTGGGGGAAAAATTTTTTTTTGGAAAAATTTTCGTGCCAGGATATTTCTGAATTTTTTTTTGAAATTTTTTGAGAAGCTTAAAAAATTTTTAAAAAAATTTTTTCAAGAGTTTAATTTTTTGAAAGTTCAGATTTTGAGAATTTTTTCCAAAAATTCTCAATTTTTTTTTCAAAGGATGAACAACTTGCCAAAAAATGTATCCCAGTATTTATTAGAGAATTGAAGCAGAATAGTGATCATTTTGTACGAAATAATATTGTTGTTGTTGTTTGCGATCTTTGTATTAGGTTTATTTTTGATTTTCAATTTCGTTAAAGAAATATTTTAATTTTTAGATACACTTCTTTGGTTGATAGATACAGCACAATATTAGCTTCAAGTCTTCGGGATCCTTCAATTTTAATTAGACGTCAAACATTAATGCTTTTGACAAATTTGATTAAGGAGCAATATATGAAATGGGAAGGACCAGTTAGTTTTTTTTTATTTTTTATTGTGAACGAGTACGTATGAGGGATACCTCAAATTTTCCGATGCCAGAAAACCGAAACCCGTAGCTTATACTTGGTGTAATAAATTTTCGAAAACTCGACTGATAATTCTTCCGACTTTTCTGTTTGTAACATGCTCTGGTACATTGGTTTGATAAGGATAGTTTAAGTGTATAAAAACTTATTAGGGCTTAAATGATTGAAAGGAAGTTTTATGTATCCCTGTTATGTTAAGCACGCAGCAGTTTGTTTGTTAAACCCTTGTTTTTTTTATCGAAACTCGATCGAGCTGATTTTTTTCTTAACTCGGTCTATCTTTGGGATCCATTTAAAAAATAATTCTTTTAAAATGAAATTTTTTAAAGATTATTTATCGTTATGTAACAACATTGTTAGATCATGATCCTTGTATTCAAGAATATGCCAATTTTTGTTTGGTATATTTTTTTTTTCTAAAATCCTTTTTTTGTTATTTAGACAGACATTCTTTTACCTCAATTTCGTGAGCGAATGTTTTTTCATCATTTTCTTGAATGTGTTTTTAGTTTTAATCAAGTTAAACATCCATCACATATTAAACCAATTTATGATGGTATTAAAGGATTTTTTAAAATTAAAAACAATTTTTTCTTAAAAGATGGTTTTGAATTGCATTCTGAAGTGGATAAGCAATGCTCTTTGGAAGGTCGTCAAAAATTCAATGATCGATTACGTCTTTATAAATATATGGTTTGATTATTTATAATTGTAGTTGGTCCTCATTTTTAAATATTCTCAAAAATTGGGTACTCTTCGATTTAGGATGCGTTTTTTGAATTTTGTTTAGTCTTATTGTCAGGAGCTACCTAGTCCATAGGGGGGGGTATTGTGACTTATAGGGGGTTTTTTTTGGCTGGACCGATTTCGACAAATGAGGTGTCATTCGAAAGAGCTCGCCGAGCTGAGTCGATCGCGGGGGCAGAGAAGTCGATCCGACAATCAGGGACCGAGATACAGACCCCTGAAGTTTGAAAAAGAGAAGGGGGGAGTAAGCTCAATTTTGGGTGAAAAATTCGAAAATGCAAATAATTGTTCATTCGACTCAGCTCGACGAGCTGAGTCGAATGACACCAAAATCACCGAAATCCGGCTTGATTTGACAAAGTTATGATCGTTTGTCTTAGCTCCTTACCTATGGTCATTGTTGAGGTTTTTGCTGCTACGGAGGCCCCAGGTACGTCCAGAGTAAGGGAGATAGGAATAGGTTTATGTTACGAGCCCAGACCCAGCGCCCGTAGACTCCCCGCGAGGCGCGTGCCGCAAAACCCCGCGCGAAGCGCGGGGTTTTGCACAAGCGCCTCGCCGACGCCCCATAGGTTTATGTTGACCATTTTGAACCTTTTTATCTTGGCTCAGAATCAAGATATCGAGCTTATTTTGGTGTCATTCGACTAGTCGAATGAGCTATTCTTTGCATTTTTGAATTTTTCACTCCAAAATTAGCTTACTCCCCCCTTCTCTTTTTCAAACTTCAGGGGTCTGTATCTCGGTCCCTGATTGTCGGATCGACTTCTCTGCCCCCGCAATCGACTCAGCTCGGCGAGCTCTTTCGAATGACACCTCATTTGTCGAAATTGGTCCAGCCAAAAAAAACCCCCTATAAGTCACAACATTCCATAGGGGTAAGATACAATCCGAAGAAAATTTTGAAAATTCGATCCGAAACCCAACCCGACCTTTTTCTCAACTTGGCTCATCCCTGATCTAATATAAGCTGTGTTCGACTACATATAATATTTTAACTACGGAATTTTTTTAAATTTTTAGTTAAACACATTTGAAGACCACCAAAAAGTCTCTATTCTTGAAAAAATTGGATTAGAAATATTTGTTCCAATTGTTGAAGGAGGAATGCTTTTATCTGAAATAAATGTTCGTTCATTACTCTTTGATGCTTTAAAAATTATGCAAACATCTGAAATTAAATTAAAAATGCAATTGGGCAAGTTAGATGTTGATTATGAAGGTGATGATGAAGAACCGCCAGAATTAATTAAGGTTTGGAAATTTTTTGATTTTTTGGGTCTCGTCCTATTGAATTTTCTATGATGTTTTGAAATTTGGATTCCTCAACATTTTTAAGTCTTCTTGGAAAACCTTTAGATATTCAGACCCGAATCGAAGAACCGAGCCGAAAAATCTTCGGTTCCCTTTAACAAAACCACCCAATGGGCCTTTTCAGAAAATTCACCAACACTGTCAAAAATTTACATATATAAGATAACGGAATAATCTATCGGAATGAGACGAAAAATCTTACTTAATCAAAACTATATTTAAAGCCTCATGAAAATCCAACATAAAATTCTGGGTTGCATAAACTAGGGACTGGGCCGAGGCTAAATCTCGAACAAAAATTTTTCGAGATTCGATTCTCATATGACTCTCCCGGTCCGGTCTCTTCCATCAATTACCAAGATCCTTTTATTTTTTAGTCAGCAGCTCGAAAATTTATTTCAACAACATTTCGTAAAACAATTGCTGAAACTGTTATGCCACACTTATTTGCATTAAATGCATTTTTGCGTGAAAAAAGAAGTCCGTTGACTGAATATTGTTATGGCGTCATTCTGTAATTTTTTTGAAAATTTTTTTAATTAAAAAAATTCTTTTAAAGAGAAATTTGTCGTGATCATCAAGAACAATTGGACGATTTTTTGGCTTCTGATCCACAATTAAAAGCAGAAATTCGTTTTGATTTGCGTCAAACTGCTGGTAGTGGAGGTGGACAACAACAGCAAGGACAACAACAAAAAGAAAAGGAAAATCGAAATAATAAGAGGGGAGGAACTCCAAGAAGTGAACAAAAAAGAAATCGAAAACAACAAAAACAAATGCACCAACGTTCATTTTCACAAACGCCCGGACGTGAAAGAAGTGTTGAATAAAAATTAATTGAAGAAAATTGATGAGAGAAGGTTTTATTTATTTTTTTTGAATGATTATTGTCAGGTAATTCTACTTATATTTAATTTTTAATATTTGAAAATATTTTTTTTGGAATTACTAGGTTGGTTCTTAAAAAAGTTCGTTATTTATTATCGTATTGAGCGATACCTATTTTTATTCTATTTAGTGTTGTCCTCTATGCTCCTTTAAAAAATCTGATCAATCATACTCAATCGGATAAAAAATCTACCTGAACAAAATCATTGCTCTGAATCTTAACAAGATTTTTAACACAAGAAGTTTTTGGATACCCTTTTAAAAAATCTGATCCCATTTCTGATGGACTGTAAGGCGTCTTCAGTCAAGTGCTTCCGCAGTGCCCGTCCCGTGGGAAATTTTTTAATGAAGTGAAATGAAATTATTCTGATGGGGTAAACTAAGGACTACAAGAGGGGTGGCAGTAAAACATTCAATTTTTGATTCGAGATTTTGAATTAATGATTTGTTGTAAAACAATGCACTGTCGATATCAATTGTTATTTGTTGTTTATTTAAGCGTTCAGAAAATGTTGCAACAGCAGCAGTAGCTAACAATTCCGAACGAGAACATATTAATAACAAAACATGAGATAAGACGGCGCAGTCAGTAAACTTAAAATATTTAAATTTAGTTGTAATACAAAAAGGGTTGTGATATAAAACCACATTTCCTTGCCTTAAAAATAAACTCCAACACTACAATCATAATCTCCCTTAGACGAAGCCAACAAGGTCCCATCAGTATCATTTATAAGGCTTACAATTCCAACTTGAATATCCTCCTCACAACAGGCATCAATGAATAATTTGACAATATCACTGTCAGTATGACCATAACACTAAAAGTGTTGATTTTTTCAACACATAATTGCAAAGAAAACTTAAATTAAAACCCTTTGTCCATTTTATGACGGACGCTGATGTTGTTTTATGCAGATTATGCGCACATGGAAACGAAAAGGTAAAGCCAACGGGCAGCTTGTTGTTGAGAGGCAATTTGAATTTGTTCAAAAAGATTTTAAGTGAAGAAGCAATAAAACCCATCAAATTTTGAGCACTTCCGATCTTCCTCCAGGAATTGCCCACGCAAGCTTAAAAATTACTTGCAGGGGAGCTTGCGTGGGCAATTCCTGGAGGAATTGCCATTCCCTCTAAGCTTGCGTGGGCAATTCCTGGAGGAAGATCGGAAGTGCTCAAAATTTTATGGGTTTTATTGCTTGAGCGGTTTTATTACTGAAGCGGTTGTTTACCGCCTTGGCAAAATCCCAACCCCATCAGGTGGGCCGCGTTTACTCAAGTGCGTTCTCCCCGCTTCTTCTTTACAGCGTTTTGCTCTTCGGCAGTGGAAGTTCAAACGTCCTGAAATCCGAACAATTCCAATTTTTAACCGTCTCTTGATCAGGCCGTCTCTGACACGTGAACAGTTGGAAAAGGACAGAGAACAGAGGGAGATGAACAAGAAAATGAAGGAAGCTGAAAAGAACTTACCAAACCCACAGGTTTCGATACGTAAACAAAAAAACTTTTGAGGTCTTTTAATTTTTTAAAAATTTTCTTTTGTAACACTAGGAGTCTTCTCAATAAACTCAACGAATTGCGTATGGTGTTGATGTCTAATAAATTCCATATCTTGGCTTTTTCCGAAACTTGGTTAAATTCTAAAATTGAGGATTCAGTAATTATCCAAGGTTTTAATTATCATTTAATCCGTTCCGATAGGCAGTCCCGTAAAGGGGGTGGAGTGGCTATTCTTATTTCCGACTTAATCCCCTTCCAGAAAATTAAGGTCCCTAAAATTCCAAATTCCGATATTTGTTGTATTGATGTCTTTTCCCCTTTGAACCAACAAAAAATAAGACTCATTGTCGTTTATCGACCAACGACAAAAGAAACCCTGGAGCATCTTACCTCTCTTATTGATTGTTTAGTACTTCTTTCATCTATCGATTACCCATATTATATATTAGGCGACTTTAATTTCCCGAACTTTAATTGGGCAAGCCCAAATCCATTCCCAAATATATTAACACCTTCTGAATCCATTTTTCTGGAATTTTTTCACTCGAGCAATCTTGAACAAATTGTCCAAGCCCCTACTAGGAATCAAAATTATCTTGATTTAGTTCTTACTTCTGATAAATCTCTAACATCTTCTCTTTCTGTCGAGCCCCCAATGGGTGGTTCTGATCATAACTCCATTATTTTCGACATTAAGCTTAATTTTAAATCCCGATCTAAATCCAACCCTAGGTATCAATTCAATAAAGCCAATTATTCACATATTAATGGTATTCTTGCCAATATTGATTGGGTTCTATTTTTCTATGATTGTATTGACGTCGAATCATGCTATAATAAGTTTCTATCATTTCTTCACACTATTATCCGATCATGTGTACCCCTATCAAACAAATCAGATTCTTTTGAACACTTTCCAGCTCATATCCAACGACTTCACCAATATCGCAAAAATTTATGGAAAGGGATCTCCAAACCCCATATTAAGAAAAAATTTATAGAAACTTCTAATAAACTTGAATATGAAATCTCCAAATTTATAAGAAATAGGGAAAACAAAAAACTCAGTAATATCAAAACAAAATTTGATTACATTTCATCATTCATAAAACCTAAAAATCCAAACATGCCTTCTCTCATCGGCCAAAATAATCAACTCATTTTCTCAAACCAAATTAAATCAGATATTTTGGCCGATCAATTCGTATCTGTCTTTTCCAATCAAAATCTTTCTTCTCAACCCTTTTTTCTCTCACGCCATCCTCAAATACCAACAATCAAAACAATTTCCATCGACCCACAAATAGTCTTCGATACAATATCTAAGCTCGAAAATTCCAATAATACATCTCCTGACTGTGTTCCAAACATCTTCTACAAAAAATGTAGAGATGCACTTGTTATCCCTCTTACTCATATTTTCTCATTGTCAATTCTTAGCTCTAAAATACCATCAATTTGGAAAAAAGCTATTATAAATCCAATCCCAAAGAAAACAAATCCACAATACCCAATAGATTTCCGACCAATTTCCCTTCTCTGTTCCTCATCAAAAATACTTGAAAAAATAATCTCAAATGAACTTCAATCATTTATCGAATCCCACAATATTCTACCTGCATGCCAGCATGGTTTCCGTAAATCTCACTCAGTCTCAACCCAATTACTTGAGGTGATGGACGATTTTACATTTGCTTTGGAAAATAAAAATTCCGTTGATATAATTTATTTTGATCTGGCTAAGGCCTTTGATACCGTTCCTCATACACTTCTAATTTCAAAACTTTATAAAGTGGGAATTCAAGGGAATCTTCTTTCCTGGATAAATGATTACTTAACAAATCGCACATTTACTGTGCGTGTATCCAATCAATACTCCGAGGAAAAACACTGCACTAGCGGTGTCCCTCAAGGATCCATTTTAGGTCCTTTATTATTTATTACTTTTATATCCGATCTCCCAGCTTATTGTTCAACAAAAGGAATAACTATCAAACTTTTCGCTGATGATCTAAAAGCTTATAATATTTTCAATAACATAACAAATGAATTTCCCCTTCAGATTTTCATAAATAAATTCGAAGAATATTGTCATCTCAACGGCCTTAAAATTGCTATAGAAAAATGTTCCGTTTTATATTTAGGGAACTTTAACCCATCAACCAAATATTTCATTAATAATATTGTTATCCCTCAGACCTCTGAGGATTCAGTTCGTGATCTGGGCATATATTTCTCCCATGACCTCAAATGGGAAAAACATATCAATATAATCACTCGTAAAGCAATTAGATGTTCATATTCCATTTTCAAATCAATTAAAAGTAAGAACCCTAAAATCCTCACAAATCTTTTCAATATTTATGTCCGTCCTATTTTAGAATTTTCTTCTCCCGTATTTAATCCACATCTTGAGAAAGATATTAAATCGATTGAAAAAGTTCAAAAGGATTTTCTCCGTTGGGTATTTAGACGTATTAACCCCAAAACCGAATTACCTGACTATCCTGATTTACTAAACTATTTTAAACAAGAATCCCTAATGTATAGACGAATTAAAGCCGATCTAAATTTATTCCACCAACATGTTTGTGGGACTATATCAATCAAAAACAATAATTCGTATTTTATAAATAAAGCTAATACCAGGGGATTCCAAAACATTCTACCTATAGCATGTAACACAAAAGCCAGATTCCACTCCTTTTTCGTTAGGACGGCTCGGTTATACAAATTTATTCCTCAACACATGCGCAATTCAACTCCCGATCACTTTAGTCGACTCCTAGTCACTTTCGATATATCCCAATTTATTGACTCACTCCCAAATCACCTTAAAAGACACTTTTACAATTTTTAAATTATGTTAAGGAAATCGTTTGTTTACGTTTATTTATTTTATTTGTTTTATCATAACATTATTGTCTGAAATCGTCGCGCTGATGCGTATAAATTTGATTTGATTTGATTTGATTCTTCACTTAAAATCTTTTTGAACAAATTCAAATTGCCTCTCAACAACAAGCTGCCCGTTGGCTTTACCTTTTCGTTTCCATGTGCGCATAATCTGCATAAAACAACATCAGCGTCCGTCATAAAATGGACAAAGGGTTTTAATTTAAGTTTTCTTTGCAATTATGTGTTGAAAAAATCAACACTTTTAGTGTTATGGTCATACTGACAGTGATATTGTCAAATTATTCATTGATGCCTGTTGTGAGGCAATGATTTTGTTCAGGTAGATTTTTTATCTGATTGATTATGATTGAGATATAATATCTATTTTTCTTGGAAATTTTATTTTTGATAAAAAAACGAACTTTTGTTGAACCGACTCAATAAAAATTTTGTCTGTATTATTTTCTGGTTTAGAAAAATTTTAATTTTTGAAAAAAATTATTTTAAATTTAATTTTATTATAATTTGTAAAGTAGGGCCGTCGATTCGGAACTAAAAAATTGGATTATTTTTTGACTGTTCTGGATATATTAAAATTTTCCAAAAACCAACAGTTATATTGGAGAGTGTCCAAGTCTGTTGGTTTTCAGCTTTGTTACAAGATTTTTCTTGGTGGGGGTTTTTTCTGTCATAGGTTTAGGCCGGAATTTTTTTCTATGGCAGATTTTTATGGTTTTTAAAAATTATATCCTACGTGGGGTAAAAGTTAAAAATTTTTTTCCGACTTTAGAAAATTATTTACAATTTTTGAGTTAATTTTTATAATCCGCGATGATTTTTATTAAAAGAATATATTTATTTTAAATTAGAGGGCATTTCCTTTTTTAAGTATTACGCTCCAATTCTTTATTTTTTTAATGAAATCTATTTTCTATTTTTTCGTGTCTTCAACTATATTTAGAGAACTGTCTCCCTCTCTCTTTTCTCAGTACAAAAAAAAAGGAATTCTTTTTGTTAAATTTTTTGACTTTTTCAAATTATTTTTTAACGTCAAAATTAACTAAAACACAGCATCTCTCTATTAAACAACCTATAGAGATCTTTAAAAAAAGATTTGTTCTGTTGATTTTAGGCAATTAGTATGTGAAAAAAGTTTTTTTCTTTTTTATTTTCCCCAAAAATTTATTCTTAAAAAATTTTCTTTTTTCAAAAATTCCTTAAAAATTTATTTTTAAAAATTTAAAAAAATAAAATCTATTTTCTAAAATAATGGCTGTAGTGTAGTGTACCGGTGGTAAAAGTTCGGGACGTGACATATGTCATTCGATTCGTCTCGGCGAGCTGAGTCGAACGGTACCACTCCCCATTTTAGGAAATGATTCTGGACCAAGTTATAGGTCCCGAAAAATCGAAAAACCAAAGGGGGGACCAAGCACTTTTTTGGGGTGAAAAATTCGAAAATGCAAATTATACCTCATTCGAAAGAGCTCGTCGAGCTGAGTCGAATGACACCAAAATCAATGAAAGCCAACTTGATTGGACAAAGTTATGATCTTTTATTTTACCTCCTTACCTATGACATATGTGGAGATTTTTGCTGCTACGGAGGCCCCAAATATGTCCAGAGCAAGTGAGATAGGGATAGGTTTATGTTACGAGCCCAGACCCAGCGCCCGTAGACTCCCCGCGAGGCGCGTGCCGCAAAACCCCGCGCGAAGCGCGGGGTTTTGCACAAGCGCCTCGCCGACGCTCCATAGGTTTAGGTTTCTTGTTTTGTAACTTTGTCTAAACTTGTTCAATTACGGCGATTTTGGTGTCATTCGACTCAGCTCGAGGAGCTCTTTCGAATGAGGTATTATTTGTATAAAAAATTTTTTATTCCAAAAATCGCCCCTTTGGATCTTCGGTTTTTAGGGGTCTATATCTCGGTCCAATCAAGTCGTATTTCGTTGATTTTGGTGTCATTCGACTCAGCTCGACGAGCTCTTTCGAATGAGGTATAATTTGCATTTTCGAATTTTTCACCCCAAAAAAGTGCTTGGTCCCCCCTTTGGTTTTTCGATTTTTCGGGACCTATAACTCGGTCCAGAATTATTTCCTAAAATGGGGAGTGGTACCGTTCGACTCAGCTCGCCGAGACGAATCGAATGACATATGTCACGTCCCGAACTTTTACCACCGGTACACTACACTATATCCAAAATAATTTTCCTTTTTATTTAAAAAAATTATTATTTTATAAGTTAACATTTCTGGAAGAGAGCCATCCCTTGACAGTTTATGGACGATAAAAAAATATTTTTTCTAAAGTGCTGTCATGGAGTTGCTCTCTTCAAGTAGGGTTAACACATTAATGATGTCTTTAAATTTTTTTCTAATTTTCTATTTTAAGTTTTCAGGGTTGGGGAATATTTTTATCTTTATTAGAGGAAATTCGAATTTCCTCATGAAAAATCCAAGTTTCTACCAGTTCTTGAACGCTCGCCCAAAATTCGTACCTCGTTTTCATACTTGGTACGAAATTCGAGTACGAGCAAAATTAAAATTTTCAAACAGATTTTTTTCTATTTATCTATAAAAATCCCCTTCTGTATTTTTTTCCAAAAATTAAAAATAAAAAAAATAAAATTCAATCTATCTTTCCTCTCCCTCCTCATTTATAAGCATTTTTTTAACAATTTTTTCAATTAAAAAATTAAATTTTATCCATCACAAAAAACTTCTTTTTTTAAATATTTATTAAAAATTACTTCCTTCTCTCTCTTATTCTGGAAAATTGCGTTGGCGGTTCATTACAAGTAATCCTCTCTTTCCAAAACGGGGTGGGCCACGAGGGCGATATAATTTCTTCCCTAATAATTTATTTTTGGAATTATTTCCTTTTTAATTTTAAAACTTACAAGGAACAACAATTTGATCATCCTCAAGGACATCTGAAAAGTTGAGGTTAAATATGGAAATTTGAGACATAAAATTGGAAGAGTGTAGGGAATTGGGAGTGGAGGTTTCGAACATATATTCGGACTTTCTTAGGATCCGACGAGCCGGATCCGCCAATCTCTATTAGCAAGTCTCCGCTACCCTCCTTTAGAAGAGGGTTCTACTGGTCCTTGGAAAGTCTACGAGAATTAGTTTGTAGAAAGTCTCCTTTTAATGGACGACTTCTACATCTCCCTCTGACCGGTATAAATTTTTTTCAAAATATTCTGTTTTTTTCTTTCAAGTGAATTATTCCATTTTTTATAAACAAAAATTGCCAAGTTTTTAGTAAATAAACACAATTTGGCTACAATTAATGCATAAAAAATAATTTGCATTAATTTTCCCCCTCTTCCCCCCTCTTTTCCTTTTTTAATTTACCAGTTTCCATTTCTGACGCTCCTTGTAAAGCTGAAGAGCCCTCAAAAGTTAGTAGAATTGATATTACTAAGAACCAGACAAATAAAAGGGTAAATATTTGCCGTTGTGAGAAGGGTAAATGGGTGTTGTTGTTAAAGGGTTGCATTTTTCTTTGATAATGATGTTAAATATTCTAAATTTGAGAGGAATATAGAATATTGTCGAGGAAAAATATTTTTTGAAGGGGAATAGAGGGAAGGTCCGAAAATGTGTACCAAGGATTCAGACGACAAAAAATAAATTCCCGATTTTTGGGAATCGGGACGGAAGATTCCTGTCATATACATCACCACTCCTGATAGTATAGGTTTCTCTGGGTATCTGTTATTTCTTTCGTAAGGTTTTTAAATATCCTGAGGCTGGGGTCACATTTTTGCTTATTATTAAAGCCGGCCCTCCTAACGAAGTTTCTCCAAGTTCCGTTTGGTATCACCTCATGATTTAAAATACTATGAGATATTAGAGAGATAAGAAATCCTTCCCATATTCTGACCCCTTATCCTGGGCTAAGTTATCCCATCTATCCCTTATGTCTCAAGTTCATGTGTCCTCGAGCTTTCGGTTATCCCAAGCTCCTTTACTTATCTTAAGGCTGGAATTAGCCCGATTAATAGAGAAATAGTCTTTACCTTTTTAAAATTTTTTGTGTCTTAAAGATTAACTTTGTGTGCCGCCTTTGCGTGTAGCAGTTAAGTTTACTTGAAAATGAATTGGTGGAATGATGATGGTTTTGGCTGAGCAACTTAGCCAATTAGCCAAAAGGCAAAGATGGCCAAAAAAAGGAAGAAGCAAGAAAAAAAAAAGAAAAGCGTTTTTCCATCACCTTAATAGTAAAAAAAGTTTTTTAAGTTGGTTTATAGCCCGCCCCTTAAAAATTGAGGGAAAAGTGTGTGGAAGTGTTTTTATGTTTTTTGTCTTCCAAAATTGGGGTTGAAAGGAGACTCATGACGCCTTTTTAAAAAATATAGTAATGAAGGTTTTAGGAGTTTTTCTTTTAAAAAATAATAATATTGGGAGGAAGGTCGTTTAACTTAAAATACATTTTAAGTACGTGTATTTAATGAGGTTAAGTAATAGGGGGAGAAAAAATAATAGTACTGATAATTATTTTTTGTTGGCAATTTTTATAATGAAAATGGGTATTTTTTGGGATGTTTTCGAATATTTTCGGATATTTTTGTCTCAAGTTGAAAATGTGAAAAAAAACAGGTAATAAACTAAAAAAGACGATATGTACTTTTTTAACTCTACAGGAGCGACAAAACAATTTTCAAAACAATCAAGTCGCAGTTCAAAAATAGGTACTTTATGGATATGTCACCCCCCTCCTATTTTGAGTCTCAGAGTTTTTCTTTTACGTATAAAATGGTCAGAGATTATTTTCTTCTCCATGTCAATCATTTTTTTCTTCTTCAAGTATTTTGCTTGTTTATTTTGCCTTTTCACATATTTTGTACTTTTATTTCACTCGTTTCGTTTCTACATTTACCAAATTTCACTTATTTTGCCTGAAGAAAAAAAATGATTGACATGGAGAAGAAAATAATCTCTGCCCATTTTCTACGTTTAAGGAAAACTCTTAGACTCAAAATAGGAGGGGGGGTGACATATCCATAAAGTACCCAAAAATATAACTGGTGTGATTGCTGTGGCAAACTTTAGGTAAATTTGGAGTAACACAACTTTCAGTATAAAACATTTTATAAATTTTAGAATAGTGTAAATGGCGCTGGTGGCTTCTTTAATTGAATTTCTTGTCATTTTTCGCTCTTTAAAGATTTAAAATTTAATTTTCAAATTTATCGTTTCGTTGAATAAAACTTTAAAAAAAATTTTTTATTTTCACAAAAAGTATTTATACTTCTACTTATCTTTTTGGGGTTTCAATATCATTTGAAAGCCTTAGATGTGTAGATTATTTCCGCCGACAGGATTGATTTGATCAGATCATCCTACAAAAAGTTACACCTAGACAAGTGCACAAAATCGCGAGTTGTGATCTTTATTAGGCTATAACTTTTTGTATAACAATCTGATCAAAGCAATCCTGCTAATATAATTCTTTTAATAATCCTTACATCAAGAGCTTTCGATTGATATATTAATTTGAATCAAAAATTTAAAATGGCCAAAAATTTGGCTCAGGGACTCAACCAACAGGACTCAATGATCCCCTTTACCCAAATATTTAGATTTTTCGTTTTATTTTATCGCTATTTGGGTTTTCGAAAAGTTGGCGTTTTGTATTTCAAAGTGTAAACATTTTGGATTTTTATTTACTATAAAAGGCCATTTTCGCTAAATTGATGTCCTTTAAAAATCCTTTAACCTAAAATTTTTTAGTGCTTATTTGTTAAATTATCAACTTTTTTTATTATCAAATTAATGTCTTCGCCATTGACTGCGGTTTTAATTGACTCTGATGAAGATATGGAAACATATGATACTGAGCGTCTGAACACGGTTATTTTTTAATAATGGAAAAATTGTGATTGAGGGCCCAAACTCCGATCTGGGCGGTACTAATTTAGTTTCCCCCCCCCCCCAGCCAGTTTTTTCGAAAATTATGTAAAAATGGTCAGTCTGAACAACAATTGTAGAACCCATCGAGCTGTGTCGAATGACACCAAAATCAACAAAATCCGACTTGATTTGACCGAAATACAGACCCCTAAAAATTGAACAACCATGGGGGTGATATTTTGAAATAAAAAAAGTTTATGCAAATGATAGCTCATTCGAAAGAGCTCGTCGAGCTGAGTCGACTGACACCAAAATTAACGAAATCAGACAAGATTTGACGAAGTTATGACATTATTTAGACCTACCGGAGTCGACGATTTATGTCATATCTTTGTCAAATCAAGTCGGATTTTGTTGATTTTGGTGTCATTCGACACAGCTCGATGGGTTCTACAATTGTTGTTCAGACTGACCATTTTTACATAATTTTCGAAAAAACTGGCTGGGGGGGGGGGGGGGGGAAACTAAATTAGTACCGATCTGGGCTAAGGCGAACGGCACAAAAACCAGCTTGATTGAATAAGTATGGACTTCGTCATTAACTGTTGCTTTAGTTGTGCAAAGCCTCGCGGGAGTCAGGTCGCTGGGTTCTGCGCCAGTAAAATAAACCGATTCCTTTTACCGATTTTCAGCCGTAAAAAATCGGTAAAGCCCTAGTTTACCAAAATTTAATGTTTTTCATCGCCGAATCATTTAGAGCATTTCTAATAAACCTTGAATTTTTCACCCCCAAAAGCAACCTGTTTCCCCTGTGGTTTTTCGATTTTCGGGGACCTATATCGGCCCTTATATGAGACCGTCGGGTTACCTAATTCGACCGGATCGGAATCTGGGTTCTCAAACACAATCTTACCTTAATTTCTTTTCATAACCTGCTTATTTAAGGTTAAACAGCGTCTTGCAGTTTTTGATTTGAGCACAGAATTAGAGATGTTTAAAATTAGAGATGCACAAAATTAGAGATGCACAAATTAGAGATGTTTTACAAGTGAGTTTTGAAGAAGGCCTTAAATCAGGTGATTTTATTCATAATTATGTTTGAATAAAAATTTCAATTTAACAGAAGAAAGTGTTGTCAAAATGTTACCCACCTTTATTACAGCAAACACAACTACAATTAAAAAAAATTTTATTGCCCTTGATCTTGGAGGTACGGGCTTTCGCATATATTTAATTGGAACAACAGGAGAAATTCTCCATGAAATAGTCACAAAAATTCCTGAAAATATGAAGAAGGGAAGCATCGATAATTTGATGTTTTTCATTGCTGAATCGCTGAGAGAATTTTTAATAAAACATCAATTACCTCTTGACAACAAATTTCCTGTTGGCTTCACATTTTCTTACCCTTGCATTCACAACAACTTGACTTCAGCTACACTTATAAAATGGACAAAAGGTTTTTGTGTAAGTTTCCTTTGTAATAACGGATTTAAAGATTTCACGTTTAGGCTTACGGATTTACTGGAAAGGACATTGTAGAACTTTTTCGTGATGCTTGTTCACTTGTAAAACTTGAAATTGGAACAATTACATTAATTAACGACACCGTCGGAACATTGCTGGCTTGTTCTTTGAATGATAATAGTTGTTCAGTTGGCCTTGTTGTAGCGACCGGGTTCAATATTGCATATATGGAGCGTCTTGCAAATATTCCCAAATTAAAAAAACTTCACAAAAATGGTTTCTTTTTACATTCTCGATTAGAAATATTCAATTTTTAAGGAAATAAAGAAATATGTATCAATACAGAAGTTGGAGCTTTTGGAGATAATGGAGCTATTGATGCTTATAAAACCAAATTCGATACTTCACTCGACAATAATTCTATAAATAAAGGACAACAGACTTTTGAGAAGATGATTTCAGGGATGTATTTAGTGAGTTTACGATTAAACCTCCAACCTTGTTTGCCTTTAGGTTATTCTGATGTCGAAAATACGGGTAAAATAAAAATAGTTGAGATTGTAATTTAAGCGTGGCACAAGCGTCTCGTTTACTAAATTATTTACTTTGACCATTTAGAGCTTGCGAATAAATGGGGCGGGTAAATAAGGGATAAATTCCGTAAAACCGACATTTGCACACTTGATAATTTTTTATACTAATTAAGTGTGAATTAATGCGTTTTGTTGCAATCGATTTATTTTTGGCTGGCTTAATTTTCAACGACAAACCAACAGCTATTTCTTTACTGGAAAATGATGGTTTTTTTAAAACTTCAACGATGACCAGAATTGCTGAGTATGTTTTTATTCTTATTTTTCTAATTATTTTATTTTTAAGATATATGAGGTACAACAAGCCGCTTGGAAAAATTCAAAATTTAATTAAAAAAGGTTTTTCTGATTAGATATTAATTGGGGCTGTATGTAAGGAATTCATTGTCATCTAATTTTAGGAATGGAGTGTGTAAATGGGGGGGGGGGGGGGTTTTAGTTATGATGGTTCCTTTTATTTGGGTTCGCATTATTTCAGTTTTTTATCAACCTCTAATTTAATTATATTAATTTAAGCGGGATTCACAGCGTCATTAACTGATTGTGCAGTTTTGGAGCATATTTCTTCAGTAATTTGTTCTAGATCGGAGTTTCTGTGTGCAGCAGCTGTTGCAGCGATTTGCCAACGAATAAACAAGCAAAAGATAACTATTGGAGTTGACAGTGCTTTGTTCTGCACCAAGCGAACACTTCTAAATTTGGAATCAAAAATTGAATGCTTGACCGAAAAAAAAGTTTTTTATTTACTGTATATTATTTTAATATTAATTCTATTTTTCAGATCGAATTAATTGATACTGAAGAGGCAAGTGGCCGCGGAGCGGCGGCCGCATTTCAGGAAAATGGCCGCATTTCAGGAAAATTTTTCTAGTTCAGAATGGAATTGTGTGGTTGTTTAGGTTTTGTTTTAACTATAATTTTTGACTCATTTTATTCTTTTTACAGGTGTATTCGTTGTCTAATCATTGCCAAACATTTTAAATCTTTAGGAATATTAGAGCACATAAATTTTTTTTGTTATTTTAGGGAACGATATTTATTTTTACATGTGGCCAAAAAAGAAATTCAATTAATTTTTTTGATTTTTATGTCTTTTAATTTAAATGTTTCCTTTTAAATTATCTTGGTTTTTTTTGTTTTTATTTATTTATATACTTTTTTGATTGATGAGTAAATATGAAAAAATAAATTTTACTTCTTTTTTTAGGATTTTACATATTCCTTTTAATTTATTTGATAATTTTACCTAAACAAACAATTTTTTGATTTTCCTGAGTCATTAAACATTCTACAAGTTTCAATGATGAACTTAAATTTTGAGGGAAAAAGATGAGTATTTTAGAAGATGAACAAATTTTACAGGTTTAATTTTTTTAAATGACGAATTAGGTTTGTATTTATTTCCAGCCCTCCACATTTTTCTAGGGATAGGTCAAATTACTCGAAACCCTGATTTTTTGACCCGAAATCTGGTTTGAAGAAACTTTTGGGAACCCATAACTCGACCAGAGAAATTTTAGAAACCCCGATTCGGAAGCCGATCCCATCCTTGAAAGACGTTGAAAGACCTTGTGTAGTCATGATAAGCCATTTTTTATTAAAAATTTTTTAAATTTGAAAATTCTTTTATTTTTTGTCTTTAAAGTATTCGAAGTCGGCTTCCTTTCGAAAATTTCTTTTTTACGTCTTTAAAGTTCATTAGAAACGAAAAAGTCTTTAATTGTTTACGCTTAAATTACTTTTTTTTATTTTTTTGGATAGAATCTACTAATTTCAACGATGAATTACAAATTTTTAGAACTCAATTTGAATTAGAAAATCAACAAATTTTAATTTAAAAAATGAAATAAATGGTTTATTTTTCTAAAATTAATTTTTAATTTTTTTATTTGAATTTTTAGATGCTCAATCCCAATTAAATAATTTGAGGAATTCAGAAATTGAATGTAAATCACAAAACGAGGTTCTTTTGGGACAACTTAAAGGTTTTTTGAGATTAAACTTTTTTTGAGGGAATTAGGATTTTTGGTCTTGTCGGTAAATTCCTCCTTAGGTTCGTGTCCAATATATCTGAATCAAAAAAGTATTCTGATGTGGCTTGAATATAGTATTACTTTCAACGCTCTGTCCGCAAAATATTTGCGGATTAATCCGTATTTACTAAAAATTCCCATAATTTTTTTAACGAAAGATTAATTTTTTTCTCAATTTTCCAAAAAAAAATTAACCACAAAAAATATTCCTAATCCACAAAATTCTTCAATTTAAAAATTTTTTAATTAAAAGTTTTTTTAAAGCTGCCGAAACAAAAAATGACCAAGAGAAGCCTGTAAAAGAAATTCGTATCCAACCAGCAAAGAATAATAAACATCCAGCAATTAATGCAATCAAAGAATTGGATTTACAACATTCGGTTAATTTAAAAATTTTTTTTTAATTTTTTGGATAGGACAAAGAGAAAAATGTTTGGGGATTTTTGCTGGGGTTTCCAGCAAATTTTTAGCTACTGAGAAATTTTCCTACATGTTAATATTTTACTATTATTAGTTAGATTAACCAAGTTTACCATGTTGTTTGTGTGGTTAAGTTGTGTTAACTTTCTTGAAGATAGGTTCAAGGTTCGAATCCGTTTGTTGTAAAATAGTTTTTATTTCATTCCAATTAACGTTTGAGAGATTTAAAAAAATTTTGTGAAAAACTTTAAATTTTTTTTTAATTTTTTAAATTTTTTTAGCCTTCCTATTTTATTTCTTTATTACCTCTTTTGCAAAATATGGGGTTATGGATTACTTATTGAATGCGAAGATATGTTCCCCTATAAAGGAAAACTTGCCAATGCAATTAATGGGGATGCTTATACAATGGATGAGGTTTGTTTTTTAAACATTTTCTAAATTTTTGTCTGAAAATAGAGGTTTTTATAAATAACTCTATTTTTTGAATGCTACGCTTACATAAAAAACGGTTTGCATTTTGTGACAAAAAAAAGTTGTTTTTATGGTGGTTTCTTTTAGAGTGGTTTACGATCTTTTTGTTTTCCCAAAAAAAAATTTCGGCCTTTCATTTAAGATAGGTCTAGAAGGGTCGTACGAGATATGTATCTCTAGAATCTTGATTCTCGATAGCCAATATTTTTGTTTGAGATCTCTGTCCGGTCCCCACTCTCATTTCCCCTACCTTTTATTTTTCCTTCAAAAAAATTCTGGGGCTTTTAAAGGTTCAGGAAAGTCCGCAACTTTTTGTCCGCAAATATTTTCTGATACTAAAATTTTTTCTATTTAAAGACAACAATTTTGGCTTGGCATGATATGCTTGTACATATGTCAGATAGAGATTCAGAAGCTTTTAATTTGAGTAAAATACTTAAACCAATACTTTGGTGACTAATTGTGTTAGATTTTTCTTTAGAAATTTTTTTTTTTTTTAATTTTAAAAATTCACAAAAAATTTTCTAATTAAAAAATTTTTTTTCAATTTTTAGGTCATATGCCGAAGATCTGGATATGTATTTGCCTTATTCTGATTGGCTTGCTTTGAAAAAATTTAAGTAAGAGAGAAAGGTTTTTTAATTTATTAGGGAGTAAAATTGGAGTTCTTCTTTACTTATTTAAGCGTTAATTGTGATTTTGGTTTGTGTGTGGTTTTGGTGTAGTGGTTAGGTGTTGTGACTATGGTGGGTAACCAGCAAGGTTCGAATCCCCCCTTCGGGTATTTCAATTTCTATTGTTTTTTATCTTTAAACCTTTCAAAAAAATTTTTCTTGGTGATATTATCTACCTTATTTTATTTTTTTGTAGGGAGTAATTAATATTTTTTAAAGTATTAAATAAATTTATTTAATTTTTTCATAGGAAAGTTTGGGGTGCTTCAGCTTTTAAAGGTGCAGATGGCCCAATGCGTTTCTATTCAAATTCAATTCATTATATTCGCAACCATGAAGCTTGGATTGGCCAAATCTAAAATTTATAAAGAATTTGACAGATTTCAGGTTTTTCTTTGAAAATTTATTTGAGTTTATTTTTCTCCTCATTTCCGCAATTTTCTGTCTATTTCTGACGTCCATAAGTTTAGGATTTTAATTTACCGCCTTTAATTGCGGCTCCCGGACAATCCGTCAGTGGACAATCCGGCAGTGGAAAATCCGTTAGTGGACAATGCGTCAGTGGTCGGACAATCGTTCAGTTGACAATCCGTCAGTGAACAAATTCATAATTCCCACCCGAATCCAAAAAACCGCGGCCAAAAATTTTCATTTTTTCATGTGAGAGGTTATAAGAGATAACGAAAATATGGAGATTAATGAGGAAATCGGCAGATTTAGCTGGATTAAAAGCATATCTGTGGATTTGGGAGTCATCGGGGACTTCAAAGATATTGTGGGATCAATGGGAATATAAAAGATTTGTAGTATTGTGGTGGTTATCTAGGAATTTGGGAGATTAAGATGGATCTCGTAGATAAAGGAGGATATCAAGGGATATAGGCGGGTTAAGATGATTTGGAGGTTTTTCCATGATATCCATCTAAAAACAAACTCTTATTTATCGAGTTCCATAATTACACGATATTTACCCAAATCCTACAATAATGCCACACGTTAATCACGTAAATCTAATCCATCCAAATCCCCGATATCCTTCTAAAGCCATCGACATTGGCGTAATTCAACACATTGCCCACTGAATTGCTTTTAATCCAGCTAAATCTGCCGATTTCCTTCTTAATCTCCATATTTTCGATATCTCTTATAATCCCCTACATTATAAAATGAAAATTTTTGGCCGAGATAGTTTGGGTAAGGGTAGGAATTACAAATTTGTTCACTGACGGATTGTCCACTGACCGATTGTCCGACCACTGACGCATTGTCCACTGACGGATTTTCCACTGCCGGATTGTCCACTGACGGATTGTCCGGTCACGTTTAATTGCCATACATCTCCCATATATCCCACTTTTATCTTTGGCTGTTTGGTGGGTTATTTGTTAAGATAAATCTAAAATTTTGATAAATCTAAAAATAAAAAAAAAGATAAATCTAAAATCTATAATTTTGTTAAGATAAATCTGATTTTATTTTGTTAAGATAAAATTTAATTTCCCATTAGGGTAATTTTTCAAAAATATTTTCACAACTATTTGAAGGGTCTAATAATTACTGGTTGGTCTTGTTGTGATCATTTAGCCGTCCTTTGTGAAATGCTCCCAGTTGGAATACCCACACTTTCAATGTCTGCAGAAACAATACTCGCTGGTCGTCCCTTAGATGGACGTTATGAAAAACTTCAAAATTAACGTTTCCAGAAATTTTATGTTATTTATTGTTTTACTTCGTAGTTTGTTAAGTTTATTTTTAATTATATCTTCCTATTTTTATAGAATTTTTCGAATTTCACTCTTCTTTCTGAATAAAATAAGATAATAATTCTGCCATCTCGTTTCCAGAAATTTTATGATATTTATTGTTTTACTTCGTAGTTTGTCAAGTTTATTTTTAATTATATCTTCCTATTTTTATAGAATTTTTCGAATTTCACTCTTCTTTCTGAATAAAATAAGATAATAATTCTGCCATCTCGTTTCCAGTAATTTTATGATATTTATTGTTTACTTCGTAGTTTGTTAAGTTTATTTTTAATTATATCTTCCTATTTTTATAGAATTTTTCGAATTTCACTCTTCTTTCTGAATAAAATAAGATAATAATTCTGCCATCTTGTTTCCAGAAATTTTATGATATTTATTGTTTTACTTCGTAGTTTGTCAAGTTTATTTTTAATTATATCTTCCTATTTTTATAGAATTTTTCGAATTTCACTCTTCTTTCTGAATAAAATAAGATAATAATTCTGCCATCTCGTTTCCAGAAATTTTATGATATTTATTGTTTACTTCGTAGTTTGTTAAGTTTATTTTTAATTATATCTTCCTATTTTTATAGAATTTTTCGAATTTCACTCTTCTTTCTGAATAAAATAAGATAATAATTCTGCCATCTTGTTTCCAGAAATTTTATGATATTTATTGTTTTACTTCGTAGTTTGTCAAGTTTATTTTTAATTATATCTTCCTATTTTTATAGAATTTTTCGAATTTCACTCTTCTTTCTGAATAAAATAAGATAATAATTCTGCCATCTCGTTTCCAGAAATTTTATGATATTTATTGTTTTACTTCGTAGTTTGTCAAGTTTATTTTTAATTATATCTTCCTATTTTTATAGAATTTTTCGAATTTCACTCTTCTTTCTGAATAAAATAAGATAATAATTCTGCCATCTCGTTTCCAGAAATTTTATGATATTTATTGTTTTACTTCGTAGTTTGTCAAGTTTATTTTTAATTATATCTTCCTATTTTTATAGAATTTTTCGAATTTCACTCTTCTTTCTGAATAAAATAAGATTTTAATTCTGCCATCTCGTTTCCAGAAATTTTATGTTATTTATTGTTTTACTTCGTAGTTTGTTAAGTTTATTTTTAATTATATCTTCCTATTTTTATAGAATTTTTCGAATTTCACTCTTCTTTCTGAATAAAATAAGATAATAATTCTGCCATCTCGTTTCCAGAAATTTTATGATATTTATTGTTTTACTTCGTAGTTTGTCAAGTTTATTTTTAATTATATCTTCCTATTTTTATAGAATTTTTCGAATTTCACTCTTCTTTCTGAATAAAATAAGATTTTAATTCTGCCATCTCGTTTCCAGAAATTTTATGTTATTTATTGTTTTACTTCGTAGTTTGTTAAGTTTATTTTTAATTATATCTTCCTATTTTTATAGAATTTTTCGAATTTCACTCTTCTTTCTGAATAAAATAAGATAATAATTCTGCCATCTCGTTTCCAGAAATTTTATGATATTTATTGTTTTACTTCGTAGTTTGTCAAGTTTATTTTTAATTATATCTTCCTATTTTTATAGAATTTTTCGAATTTCACTCTTCTTTCTGAATAAAATAAGATAATAATTCTGCCATCTCGTTTCCAGAAATTTTATGATATTTATTGTTTTACTTCGTAGTTTGTCAAGTTTATTTTTAATTATATCTTCCTATTTTTATAGAATTTTTCGAATTTCACTCTTCTTTCTGAATAAAATAAGATAATAATTCTGCCATCTCGTTTCCAGTAATTTTATGATATTTATTGTTTACTTCATAGTTTGTTAAGTTTATTTTTAATTATATCTTCCTATTTTTATAGAATTTTTCGAATTTCACTCTTCTTTCTGAATAAAATAAGATAATAATTCTGCCATCTCGTTTCCAGAAATTTTATGATATTTATTGTTTACTTCGTAGTTTGTTAAGTTTATTTTTAATTATATCTTCCTATTTTTATAGAATTTTTCGAATTTCACTCTTCTTTCTGAATAAAATAAGATAATAATTCTGCCATCTTGTTTCCAGAAATTTTATGATATTTATTGTTTTACTTCGTAGTTTGTCAAGTTTATTTTTAATTATATCTTCCTATTTTTATAGAATTTTTCGAATTTCACTCTTCTTTCTGAATAAAATAAGATAATAATTCTGCCATCTCGTTTCCAGAAATTTTATGATATTTATTGTTTTACTTCGTAGTTTGTCAAGTTTATTTTTAATTATATCTTCCTATTTTTATAGAATTTTTCGAATTTCACTCTTCTTTCTGAATTTTAATTATATCTTCCTATTTTTATAGAATTTTTCGAATTTCACTCTTCTTTCTGAATAAAATAAGATTTTAATTCTGCCATCTCGTTTCCAGAAATTTTATGTTATTTATTGTTTTACTTCGTAGTTTGTTAAGTTTATTTTTAATTATATCTTCCTATTTTTATAGAATTTTTCGAATTTCACTCTTCTTTCTGAATAAAATAAGATAATAATTCTGCCATCTCGTTTCCAGAAATTTTATGATATTTATTGTTTTACTTCGTAGTTTGTCAAGTTTATTTTTAATTATATCTTCCTATTTTTATAGAATTTTTCGAATTTCACTCTTCTTTCTGAATAAAATAAGATTTTAATTCTGCCATCTCGTTTCCAGAAATTTTATGTTATTTATTGTTTTACTTCGTAGTTTGTTAAGTTTATTTTTAATTATATCTTCCTATTTTTATAGAATTTTTCGAATTTCACTCTTCTTTCTGAATAAAATAAGATAATAATTCTGCCATCTCGTTTCCAGAAATTTTATGATATTTATTGTTTTACTTCGTAGTTTGTCAAGTTTATTTTTAATTATATCTTCCTATTTTTATAGAATTTTTCGAATTTCACTCTTCTTTCTGAATAAAATAAGATAATAATTCTGCCATCTCGTTTCCAGAAATTTTATGATATTTATTGTTTTACTTCGTAGTTTGTCAAGTTTATTTTTAATTATATCTTCCTATTTTTATAGAATTTTTCGAATTTCACTCTTCTTTCTGAATAAAATAAGATAATAATTCTGCCATCTCGTTTCCAGTAATTTTATGATATTTATTGTTTACTTCATAGTTTGTTAAGTTTATTTTTAATTATATCTTCCTATTTTTATAGAATTTTTCGAATTTCACTCTTCTTTCTGAATAAAATAAGATAATAATTCTGCCATCTCGTTTCCAGAAATTTTATGATATTTATTGTTTACTTCGTAGTTTGTTAAGTTTATTTTTAATTATATCTTCCTATTTTTATAGAATTTTTCGAATTTCACTCTTCTTTCTGAATAAAATAAGATAATAATTCTGCCATCTTGTTTCCAGAAATTTTATGATATTTATTGTTTTACTTCGTAGTTTGTCAAGTTTATTTTTAATTATATCTTCCTATTTTTATAGAATTTTTCGAATTTCACTCTTCTTTCTGAATAAAATAAGATAATAATTCTGCCATCTCGTTTCCAGAAATTTTATGATATTTATTGTTTTACTTCATAGTTTGTCAAGTTTATTTTTAATTATATCTTCCTATTTTTATAGAATTTTTCGAATTTCACTCTTCTTTCTGAATAAAATAAGATAATAATTCTGCCATCTCGTTTCCAGAAATTTTATGATATTTATTGTTTTACTTCGTAGTTTGTCAAGTTTATTTTTAATTATATCTTCCTATTTTTATAGAATTTTTCGAATTTCACTCTTCTTTCTGAATAAAATAAGATAATAATTCTGCCATCTCGTTTCCAGAAATTTTATGATATTTATTGTTTTACTTCGTAGTTTGTCAAGTTTATTTTTAATTATATCTTCCTATTTTTATAGAATTTTTCGAATTTCACTCTTCTTTCTGAATAAAATAAGATAATAATTCTGCCATCTCGTTTCCAGAAATTTTATGATATTTATTGTTTTACTTCATAGTTTGTCAAGTTTATTTTTAATTATATCTTCCTATTTTTATAGAATTTTTCGAATTTCACTCTTCTTTCTGAATAAAATAAGATAATAATTCTGCCATCTCGTTTCCAGAAATTTTATGATATTTATTGTTTTACTTCGTAGTTTGTCAAGTTTATTTTTAATTATATCTTCCTATTTTTATAGAATTTTTCGAATTTAGAGACTTTTCGGTAGTGGTAGGCAAGAAATTTAGGCACTTTTCAGGTAGTGGTAAGCAGCAATATGCCCAGAACCTGGAAAGAATAGGTGAACACTTTTAACCTCAGTGAATTTTATAATATTTATTGTTTTTTTCACAAGTACGGTCAAGTAATCTGTTTTTACGCAGGTCAAGGAGCACCGTTATCAATATTCCGAGCCTGCTGAATTTCCCTTCGCACGGCCAATGAAAATAAGGTAGCCCAAATTTTACTTTCAATGGAAAAAGCGCTGCATTGTTTACTCTACCTTGTCTCTGGCTGAGCGAATTGGAGATTTGTTTGAAGAGACTACCAAAATTGTTTGTGACGAAGAAGGACAAGCAAGTTTCGCCTAATTTTTATCAACATTAACAAACTACCCCAAACTAAGCAAATTGCTGATAGCAGGTGCGCACAACAAACATTGCACACAACAAATGCCTAACTCCTGGGAGAACTGCAGCACTATTTTTATAGAATTTTTCGAATTTCACTCTTCTTTCTGAATAAAATAAGATAATAATTCTGCCATCTCGTTTCCAGAAATTTTATGATATTTATTGTTTTACTTCGTAGTTTGTCAAGTTTATTTTTAATTATATCTTCCTATTTTTATAGAATTTTTCGAATTTCACTCTTCTTTCTGAATAAAATAAGATAATAATTCTGCCATCTCGTTTCCAGAAATTTTATGATATTTATTGTTTTACTTCGTAGTTTGTCAAGTTTATTTTTAATTATATCTTCCTATTTTTATAGAATTTTTCGAATTTCACTCTTCTTTCTGAATAAAATAAGATAATAATTCTGCCATCTCGTTTCCAGTAATTTTATGATATTTATTGTTTACTTCATAGTTTGTTAAGTTTATTTTTAATTATATCTTCCTATTTTTATAGAATTTTTCGAATTTCACTCTTCTTTCTGAATAAAATAAGATAATAATTCTGCCATCTCGTTTCCAGAAATTTTATGATATTTATTGTTTACTTCGTAGTTTGTTAAGTTTATTTTTAATTATATCTTCCTATTTTTATAGAATTTTTCGAATTTCACTCTTCTTTCTGAATAAAATAAGATAATAATTCTGCCATCTCGTTTCCAGAAATTTTATGATATTTATTGTTTTACTTCGTAGTTTGTCAAGTTTATTTTTAATTATATCTTCCTATTTTTATAGAATTTTTCGAATTTCACTCTTCTTTCTGAATAAAATAAGATTTTAATTCTGCCATCTCGTTTCCAGAAATTTTATGTTATTTATTGTTTTACTTCGTAGTTTGTTAAGTTTATTTTTAATTATATCTTCCTATTTTTATAGAATTTTTCGAATTTCACTCTTCTTTCTGAATAAAATAAGATAATAATTCTGCCATCTCGTTTCCAGAAATTTTATGATATTTATTGTTTTACTTCGTAGTTTGTCAAGTTTATTTTTAATTATATCTTCCTATTTTTATAGAATTTTTCGAATTTCACTCTTCTTTCTGAATAAAATAAGATAATAATTCTGCCATCTCGTTTCCAGAAATTTTATGATATTTATTGTTTTACTTCGTAGTTTGTCAAGTTTATTTTTAATTATATCTTCCTATTTTTATAGAATTTTTCGAATTTCACTCTTCTTTCTGAATAAAATAAGATAATAATTCTGCCATCTCGTTTCCAGTAATTTTATGATATTTATTGTTTACTTCATAGTTTGTTAAGTTTATTTTTAATTATATCTTCCTATTTTTATAGAATTTTTCGAATTTCACTCTTCTTTCTGAATAAAATAAGATAATAATTCTGCCATCTCGTTTCCAGAAATTTTATGATATTTATTGTTTACTTCGTAGTTTGTTAAGTTTATTTTTAATTATATCTTCCTATTTTTATAGAATTTTTCGAATTTCACTCTTCTTTCTGAATAAAATAAGATAATAATTCTGCCATCTTGTTTCCAGAAATTTTATGATATTTATTGTTTTACTTCGTAGTTTGTCAAGTTTATTTTTAATTATATCTTCCTATTTTTATAGAATTTTTCGAATTTCACTCTTCTTTCTGAATAAAATAAGATAATAATTCTGCCATCTCGTTTCCAGAAATTTTATGATATTTATTGTTTTACTTCATAGTTTGTCAAGTTTATTTTTAATTATATCTTCCTATTTTTATAGAATTTTTCGAATTTCACTCTTCTTTCTGAATAAAATAAGATAATAATTCTGCCATCTCGTTTCCAGAAATTTTATGATATTTATTGTTTTACTTCGTAGTTTGTCAAGTTTATTTTTAATTATATCTTCCTATTTTTATAGAATTTTTCGAATTTCACTCTTCTTTCTGAATAAAATAAGATAATAATTCTGCCATCTCGTTTCCAGAAATTTTATGATATTTATTGTTTTACTTCGTAGTTTGTCAAGTTTATTTTTAATTATATCTTCCTATTTTTATAGAATTTTTCGAATTTCACTCTTCTTTCTGAATAAAATAAGATAATAATTCTGCCATCTCGTTTCCAGAAATTTTATGATATTTATTGTTTTACTTCATAGTTTGTCAAGTTTATTTTTAATTATATCTTCCTATTTTTATAGAATTTTTCGAATTTCACTCTTCTTTCTGAATAAAATAAGATAATAATTCTGCCATCTCGTTTCCAGAAATTTTATGATATTTATTGTTTTACTTCGTAGTTTGTCAAGTTTATTTTTAATTATATCTTCCTATTTTTATAGAATTTTTCGAATTTAGAGACTTTTCGGTAGTGGTAGGCAAGAAATTTAGGCACTTTTCAGGTAGTGGTAAGCAGCAATATGCCCAGAACCTGGAAAGAATAGGTGAACACTTTTAACCTCAGTGAATTTTATAATATTTATTGTTTTTTTCACAAGTACGGTCAAGTAATCTGTTTTTACGCAGGTCAAGGAGCACCGTTATCAATATTCCGAGCCTGCTGAATTTCCCTTCGCACGGCCAATGAAAATAAGGTAGCCCAAATTTTACTTTCAATGGAAAAAGCGCTGCATTGTTTACTCTACCTTGTCTCTGGCTGAGCGAATTGGAGATTTGTTTGAAGAGACTACCAAAATTGTTTGTGACGAAGAAGGACAAGCAAGTTTCGCCTAATTTTTATCAACATTAACAAACTACCCCAAACTAAGCAAATTGCTGATAGCAGGTGCGCACAACAAACATTGCACACAACAAATGCCTAACTCCTGGGAGAACTGCAGTAGAAATGGACAGACTTACTGGGCAGACACCGATTAACCTCCCTTGCAATAACATGCCACTGATACTGATACACAAATTGATCCGATGGTTCAGGACCCAACATCATTTTCGGCCAGCAATCCAGAACAAACTCGAACTATGTTGGACTTAATCATGGTTTTGTGGGCTCGTTTCACAAGTACGGTCAAGTAATCTGTTTTTACGCAGGTCAAGGAGCACCGTCAAGTGAGTTCGCCAGCTTTGGATTTGGATAGACATCACCAAGCCGTAGAAGTGGACAACAAGCACGACTTTGTCATCGATGCCGACTTCTGTACATGTGCTCCCCCTCCCCCTTTTACTCTGTAAATTTTTGATCGACTTCAAAAAATAAAGCGAAAAGTAAAATAATAAAAAAGGGATAAGAGAATAAAATTCTAAAGAAGGAAATAAATAACTTAAAAAGAAGGAAAGCAACAAAGAACAATCATTACTTGATTTTTTTAAATAAAAGAAAGAATCTGCAAAAAGAAAAAGAAACACCAAAAAACTTTATTCATCAGACTTAAAATGGGGACCATTTTCATGTGGAGGGTAGGCATATCCGTATTAATTATAAATTAATTATTTACCATTTATTATTACTCATTTATCTATATTACAATTATATTTTCCAATTTATATTTTATATTTCCACCAATTTATATAAATCCTTTTCCCAACCTTAAAATCTGTCTTTCTTCTTTCTAGAATTTTTCGAATTTTACTTTTCTTTCTGAATAAAATAAGATTATAATTCTGCCATATCGTTTTCAGAAATTTTATAATATTTATTAACTTTAGAATTAACTTTAAAATTTTATTTTTTTCATATTTTTGTTTTAATTTAGTTTTCAATTTTTTCAAGTGCCATTTTCGTATAAAGGAGTGCCTTAATTCCATGTTATGTCTCTTCGCTGTATTTGACACCTTCAAAAATGTTATGATGAGATTGCTGTCCTAAACTTTCAAGGAAGAAGGAAAAAAGTTAAGTGGGTGGAAATAAGAGAGGGATGAGTGAGAGGTTCGGAAAGGTTTTTTAATTTGCCAAATCTCCAAAACCATTCAAAAATACCCGAGAATATCTTACAAATTTTAAAAAATGGTTTATACTTTTGGAAGTATTTTCAACGATTTTAATAAATTTTGTGAGGAGAAAACGTCAAAATTAAAACAAAGTTTTTCGAGTTCAAGTTTGTTTGTTTAAAATTAGGGAATAGGGTTGGGGGTTTCGTGTCATTTTTATCGGGCCGGTCCGACCGAGTCTTTTTCGGGCCAAAATTCGATGCCCAACTGTATCTTTCGGAAAGGGCGCCCAAACCCTATTAAGGAAGAAAGGGGTTTTTTAGTTTAATTGCCACCATTTTTTTAATATTTGAGCATTTTAAATCGACCATTTTGTCCATAAATGTTTAAAAAATTTCTATTTGACTTGTTCTTTTAAAGTTTTTTTAAATTTTAGATTCGACAGGCATTTTCAAAAGATACTCTCAATCATCGTCTATTAGTGAAAATAAAGTTTGATTTTTTCAAAAAATTTTAAAAAAATTTCGAATTATAGGATTGCCCCGAAGATGTCAACAATTTAACCCAAAATAAGCTCTCCTTTTCTTCAAATTCTACAGCAACACCTTTACCTTCCTCAACAAGTGGTGTCCCAACATCCAATTTTGTTCCATCTCCACATGGGTCAAATACACAAATGAATAAAATTGAGCAATTGAGAGAAAAAATTGTAAGTTGACATTTTGAAATTTGACCGTTTTGCGATTTTCTGACCATTTTAAAATCTGACCATTTTGAAATTTGGCTTATTATAATTAGAGATAGGAATTTTGAAAAAAGCGGGCCCGGGAAACGGGTTCTGAAGGTTGACCGGGAGGGACCCGGACCGGGAATTCCCGTTCCCGGTTTCATCCCGGTCGCTTCAAATAAACCGGGACTAATTGTAATTGGGAAGTTTTCTTAATTAAAAAATTTTATTTAGAATGAAGCTTTAATTGAAGGACAAAATAGCCGTAAAAGAACGGCAGCAGATCAACTATTGCAACAAATCGCTGAACATTTTTCTAAGGTTGTTTTGACAGACTCAAGAAAGGGATCGTCAAATGTTGAGGATAATTGTAGTCGACAGAGACTGGGAGCTGGTAAACAATTTAACTGTTTTGACCATTTTGAGTCTTTACCAATTTTTAAATTTCTAGCAAAATCAACAGCTGGAATGAGTGCTGTTGAATTTCGACGTCGCGGTCGTCAGATGGTTGACTACATAACTGACTATATGGAGAATATCGAGAATAGGAGGGTGATTTTTCTAAAATAAATTTTAAAATTTTTGACCATTTTGAGTTTGGACCATTTTTGAGCAATTTTAAATGACCATTTTTAGAAAATTTTTTTTTGAATTTTAAATTTTTTCTGAAGGTTGTCCCATCAATTGAGCCTGGTTATTTGAAAGAACTTTTACCTTTACATGCTCCACAAACAGCAGAACCATTTGAAAGAGTTTTACAGGACTTTGAGAGTTATATAATGCCTGGGGTATTTTTCAGAAAAATTTTTTGGAAAATTTTTCTAAAAATTTTTTAGGTCACCCATTGGTCTCATCCCCGTTTTCACGCCTATTTCCCAGCTGGTAATTCATTTCCTTCAATTTTGGCTGATATGTTGTCTGATGCTTTGGGGGCTATTGGATTCTCTTGGGCTGCATGTCCAGCAATGACTGAACTAGAAATTCATATGCTCCAATGGTTTGGGGAAATGATAGGTCTTCCTGTTGCGTTTTTACCGTTTACTGAAAATGGGACAGGAGGCGGTGTCATTCAGGTAGTAATTTTTAATTGTGACAATTTGACAATAAAGTTTACTCGGGGTTCCTTTTTGAAGTAAATAGCGTTTTTCATGATTCTGGGTACTTGTGTAGTTGGTATCACGACTTTTGCGCCGAGAACATTTGCGCCGCGACTTATGCGCCGCGACTTTTGCGCCGGGCGACTTTTGCGCCGCGACTTATGCGCCGCGACTTTTGCGCCGGGCGACTTTTGCGCCGCGACTTTTGCGCCGCCATTATTTTAAAAAAAATAAAATAATAACTACAATCGGATTACCCCTTGGGTTTAAAAAATTATCCAGGAAATGAAGGAAGTTCAGGAAGTACAATAGGGGTCCGGTAGCTGATGAATTAGGTCTGGGTCATAAAAGTAGTATGCACTATAGTGTAGGGTTGTCGGATCCGGATATCCGAAGATTTCCAATTATCCGACAACCTACTATAGTGAGGTCTGGCTGCAGTTATTCACATATTTTTAATAATTGTGGCGGCGCAAAAGTCGCCCGGCGCAAAAGTCGCGGCGCAAAAGTCCCACGGCGCAAAAGTCGCTCGGCGCATAAGTCGCGGCGCAAAAGTCGCGGCGCAAAAGTCCCACGGCGCAAAAGTCGCTCGGCGCATAAGTCGCGGCGCAAAAGTCGCGGCGCAAGAGTCGCGGCGCAAATGTTCTCGGCGCAAAAGTCACGGAACCGTGTAGTTTACCCCACACCCACCTCTTTTTTCTTCTCTCTTCCCTTATAATGTGACATTTGGGTCAATAGTTCAATTTTTGTTTATTTCAGACCTTTTTCCTTTCCAATAAGAGGCAAAGATGAGAAATGAGTGAAAAAAGTAAAAGGTTCGGGGCTTATGGGGGGTTAACTACACAAGTACCCCATTTTGAATAACTGTCCACAGATGACTTTTAAAAATTTGTTTTAAAAATTTTTTTAACAGAGCAGCGCATCAGAATGTAATTTTGTCGCCCTACTAGCTGCACGTTTTGAAATTATGAAAGAATTGCGTCAACGTTTTCCATTTGTTGAAGAAGGATTATTAATGTCAAAATTAATAGCTTATTGTTCAAAAGAAGCCCATTCTTCTGTAGAAAAGGCAGCAATGATTGCAATGATAAAATTGAGAATATTGGAAACTGATTCGAGTTTTAGACTGAGAGGGGAAACTTTACAGACTGCCATAAGTGTGAGTTTGGAACTTTTGTGTGTATTAATTTGAGGGAGATTGGGATAAGTAGGGATGTGGAATGGTTTTGGTAGTGATGTACATATCAGTGATGAGCTGGGTGGAGAGAAGTCGGGGTTCGGGTTGGGTTTCGGATATGATTTTCAAAATTTTCTTAGGAATGGGGTTTGAATTTCGGCTCTAATAAGCCAGGGGTTCGCAAATTTTTTAACGTATTGGGTCGGATTTTCGAAATTTCTCGGTCCGGGTTTCGGGTCGAAAGAAAAGCCGGGTTTCAGGTAACCTTACCAATTCCGAGTACGATTGAATGTGATATGTGGAAAAATGGAGAGGCTCAGATAAGTTGGCGAGCTAACTAAAAATATGGAGAGTATAGGTATGATAAGTGGGAGAGTATTTTATAAACTTCATAAAATATTTTTTAAAGGAGGATCGCAATCTTGGATTAATCCCCTTTTTTGTATCAACAACCCTTGGAACGACTTCTTGCTGCTCGTTTGATGTTCTTTCTGAAGTTGGGCCTGTTTGTACACATAATGGTTTGTGGCTACATGTTGATGCTGCTTATGGTTATTTTTTAAATAAAAAATATTTTTTTAAAATTTTATTTTTAAAGCTGGTTCTGCAATGATTTGTCCAGAATTTCGGTTTATTTATTGAAAATAATTTTTTTGAAAAAGAAAACTTGCGGACAGATTTTGCGGACTTTTTTATATTTAAGTTGTTTTTTCGATTTTTGGGTGAATAGCGAAATAATCTGCAAAAAACAAAATCCGCAAAAAAAAAAGTCCGCAAAAAATTTCTAGCAACTAAAAAATTAATTAAAAAGATATTTAATGGCCGGTATTGAACATGCAATGTCTTTCAATACAAACCCAAATAAATGGATGTTGGTTAGTTTGGAGATTTATTTTTAAATTAAAAAATAATTTGTAAAATTCTTGAGGTAAATTTTGATTGTTCCACAATGTGGTAAGAGTTTATTTTTAATTTTATTGAAAAAAAACAATTTTTGAGGGTGAAAGACCAATTCAAATTAACCCAAGCATTGGTAGTTGACCCTCTCTATTTGCAGCATAGTTGGACTGGTAAGGGAAAGAATTTAAATTGTACTATACATAACAGGGATATCACAGTCACAGGAAACTTTTTTTTAAAAACCGGATCCAAGAAGTTTTTTAAAACTCGACTCGAGATCCCTATTTCTCTCTCGTGGCATCCTTGCTACATAATAAGGAGAAAATCGACCAAAACTCCAATGTCAGAATGGTAAATCTGGTTTAAAAATAGGCCAATTTGTGGAAAATGCCCTAGAAAGGTTGTCATTATTTTTTTCGATACCTGCTATAAAAAATTCGGATTTTGACGAAGTGGTCAATTTTTGCTTGGTGGACGTTTAGAGAATTTTTTGATTTTTATGATTTTTTTCGCAAAATTTACCTATTTAAAATTTTAATTTATTTTTAAAGATAAAGCAATAGATTATCGTCACTGGGGTATTCCCCTTAGCAGACGCTTCCGTTCTTTAAAACTTTGGTTTGTTATTAGAAGTTATGGTGTTGAGGGCTTGCAACATTATATTCGAGAACATGTTAGGCTTGCAAAACTTTTTGAATGTTTATTGTTGGCAGATGATCAATTATTTGAAGTTGTGGCTGAAGTACTTATGGGATTAGTATGTTTTAGAATGAAGGTAATGAATTTTATTCCAGAGATTTATTTAAGTTTGAAGTAGAGTTAGAACGACTTTGAGGTCCTGTTTTTTTGTTTTAGGCAATTTTCGGGGTTAATTCAGTAGGGCTGTTTCTATGATGGAGGTTGAAGGGTGACTTTTATTCCGTGTGGACATTTGTCCCTCTTTTTGGGATTAATTCTATGATATCATATTCATTTAGAAAAACTTTGTAGATCCATCCCGTTGTAGGATTGGGATTTTACTGATTTTTGAAAATACAATAGGAAAGATTTTAGGTTTTTAAATTCCGAAAATCGATTAAAAATTCATTTTTAATTCTTATATTTTCCCAAAAAAGGCATCAGACGAATTAAATCAACTCCTTTTAACAAAATTAAATAGCAGTGGTAGAATACATATGGTACCAGCTTCGTTAAATGATCGGTATATTTTTAGCTGGGGTTTTTATAAAGGATTTATCTATTTTCTGGGGGATTTCCCAAGTTGAATTTTACCTTGACTCAAGATTCAAGAGGACAAAATACCCGACCAAAGCAACATCCATATAATACAGTGAGGGCAAAAGTAATGACTCATGGGTCGCGCAAAAGAATTTAGTACTATAACTTTTTAGGAAATGGTCCAAATGAAACTGGTAATGGATAAAAATATTCCCCATAGTGTCAGCTTTAAATATATATAAAACTTGGCTAAAATTAATTCCAAGTGTGTAAGTTAAAAATTTTTAAATGAGTCCACCTCAATTTTAGCTGGTGCAAAAGTAATGACTCAAAATTTTATCGAATCATATCTCTGAATCGAATCATATCTCTACTGTTAGACGGTATTTTTACCCCCATCTAATGAATCAAATCCTTATAGTCCTAGCCCAATTTCTATTTAAAATTTTATTTTGTTTTTTAAAGTTTTGTAATTCGTTTTTGTGTATGTTACGAAAATTCAACTGAAAGAGATATACATATTGCTTATGAAATAATTAAACAAACAGCAATCAGTTTAAGTATGTTTTTGTGGGGTTTTTAAGAGTAAATTTAGGAAAAAAATTTCTTTAGGAGAACCAATACCTGAACCTATAGCAGAAAATTATGAATTAGAAATGGAAGAAGCTGAACAATACGATCAAATGATGCAGGACAAGCAAAAAAATAGAAATTCACCAAATGTTGAATTAAATAAAAATTCGTCTTTAAGACGTCAATCAATAGGTTTTCTCTTTTAATTTTTTTTGAAATTTTTACAAAAAAATTTTTTCAAAAGGTTCTACAATTCCTTTACATCCTCAGCAACAACCACAAAATTTGGGCAATTCTCCTTTGGCTGTAGGAATTGGAAATGAACAGACTTTGAGTGGACATTCACCATCTTCTTTAACTTCATCAACTGGATCGGTTTGAAAAAAGATTTTTTTTTGTTTTAAGAGGTTTTCAGAAAATAATTTTTTGGGTTGCTTTTAAATATTGGAGTGCCTTCCTTTTGGCGACTTCTCCACATATTTCTTTCACTTTTCCATCTATTTTCCTCTCAAATTGTTACAACTAAAATCCGGCATGGGACTGAATTTTGTATAGAACCTAGAATCCCTTCCCGGAATCCTGGGCTTTAAACGACAAACAGGATTAATGGGTTTTAGAGATTAATCCCGCGAGATCCGTCTCGTTTGTCTTTTTAGAGCATAATTCAGTTACGGGACTAAACTCAATCTGGTTATTTTGCCGCATTTTAGGCGCAATCCAAAAATTGTTTTAGCTATTGTATAAAACCCCAAAGTTTCTAAAGAAGCTCGAGTACTTCAAAATATGTCTAATTTTTTTTAATTTTTTATTGACAAAATTTTTTTAAATTTTTATAGGATCGCCGTAGACTACATACTTTAGCTGAAAAACGTTCTTTCCTTGTTCGTATGGTTAGTGATCCAAAATGTTACAATCCAAAAATTGTTCGGCATTTAAATATGAGAGCACATAATCAAACATCTGCAGAACTTTTTAGAGACAGAACATTGAGGTTTTTTTAATTTTTGAGGAAAATTAGAAAAAATTAATTTTTAAAGACAAGCAATTCAACAAGGAAGTTTTCAACAAAGAAGTAGTTTGGGTGCTGGAGGAACATCCCATGGTGGTAGAATTGGAGGGGCAGGAGGAAAAGCACCTTTCAGCAGTGGAAAATGTTTGTTTAAAATTAAATCTTTTTTAATTGGAAATTAATTTGGGAATAAAATTTGTTGGGAAGGGAGTAGAATTAATAGGTAAGAAGACAATCTATAGAAAAAAAAATAAAAATTTTTCAAAATTCTAGAGGGAAAAATTTTGGCTCTACTCCAGTTTATGCGTCCAATTGACTTTTATGCGTCCAATTAAAGTTTATGCGTCCAATAAAAAGAAAATTGGATTTTTCTTGGTATTGCAAACTTGGGGTATGGTTCCACAACATTTCTTCATGTTCGGGACCTACGCCCACTGGGTCTGGGACCATTCCTTGTCCTATTCCTCGAAATTTCTGAAAGTTATAGCCAATTTTTAAAAATCTCAGAAAAACGATTGTAACTTTAAGAAATTTCGAGCGATAGGGTAAGGAACGGTCCCAGACCCAGTGGGCGTAGGTCCTGAACATGAAGAAATGTTGTGGAACCATACCCCAACTGTGCAATACCAAGAAAAATCCAATTTTCTTTTTATTGGACGCATAAACTTTTATTGGACGCATAAAAGTCGATTGGACGCATAAACTGGAGTAGAGCCAAAATTTTTCTTTAAAGGTTGTTATAAAGCTAGGCTATAAAGCTAGGCTAAAAAAACCAAAAAAAATTTTTTCTGAATTCTCTTTGGTGAAATTACGGCCATAAAGTAAGAGCGCCCGTTGGAAACCTAACGAGAATATTTTTTTGAAAAATTTATGGCTTCTCCTTAGATTTATTTTTGAATTTTATGGCTCCTCGTATTCTCTCTCAAAAAATTCTTATTTTTTAGATGCATGTATGAGTATAGATCAAGGGTCAGATGAAGATGATTATTCGGCTTTATATTTCCAAAATGATTAAAATATTGGGATTTAAATAAAAAAAAAGAGAAGAAAATAAAGAAAAATAAACAATTCGAAAATTAGAACAACACAAATTTAAAAAATAAAAATTAAATAAATTTTTAGAAAAAAATTTTTTTTTTTTAATTTTGAGGTTACTTAAATCCTCTCATTAATATTTTATTTTTAATTTTTGTTGAGTATTTAAATATTAGAGTCCGAGTTTTGTGGGCACTAGTGTTCTTCCTCGTTATATTTTGAGACTTCAATGGGTATACCCGTTTATTCGCATAACAAATAGAAATTGAGAAATAGTATTTAAAATTAGGAGAGTGGGAGAGAGAAAAGAAAAAGTAAATTTTCTGAGAAATTAAAAAAAGTTTTTTTTGTTTTAAAAGGTTGGTAGTTAGGGATCGGAAGATTAAAATAAAACTTTGACCTTAATTTCTTGATTTTTGGTCTCGGTTGAGAATCTTGACCAGCTCCTTGGTCTCGAGTCAAAGGGATAATTAAGGCTTGGATCCAGGCCGAGGTGATAGTGTCGTTTCCAGTCCCTTTTTTTTCCTCCTTAAGTTTCCTCTATAATTAGTACAAAATGGGAAGACTTTTCCTCTTCTTCAATACAATTGCCTTACTATATTTTGCCTACAAACCATCAAAAAAAATTATTTTTTATTAAGTTGTTTAGAAAGAAAGGAAGGCAATTGTGTTCTGAAAGGAAGGAAAAGTCTGACCATTCTGTACATATTTATACAGGAAAAAACTTGGGGAGGGAAAAAAAAAGGGGGGGGGGGAAACTACACTATTCCCCCGATTTCTATTGATAATCTAATTTTCTTTTTTTTGTTTTTAGACCTTTACATATTTACAGCATTTATATTTTTCTATTAACTAAACTTTCTTTAATTTTCTTAAAAAATGGATGATGAAGATATGACTGATGAACTAACCCAACAAACAACAAAAAAGCCGTGCTCTACTTTATCAAATCAAAATAAAAAACGAAACAGAATTGACCAGTTTGCGGCTATTTTGGCGTAAGAATTTTTGAAGGTTTGGAGGATTTTAAGAATTTTTATTTTTTAGAAGTCGAACAAAAAGTACAGACACAAGTTCACAAAAATTGCAACCATTTCCTAATAAATTGACTGAACAAGAGACGACTGGAAATCCTTTAAAATGTTCTATTTGCAAACTTTCTATTCAGAATGATAAAATTAAAGAAGCGAGAAAATGTTCGAGTTGTTTAAAGTGAGGTTTAATTAAATAAGGGGAATTAGATGGAGAGGGCTGGGGTGTTTCGAATAATATAGGAAACGGGCTCAATAGGAGGTTGCTAAATCTGCTGATAAGACAGTTTAATTCCTCTGGGCCTATTTCTCCCCTCGACAGATTCTGCGTGCTGTTGCATAGAACGAATATTCTGTGGATGTTTCTGCCTAATCTGAGGACCCCATTTTCCGCAGAATCTGTGGAGGGGAGAAAAGGCCCCTTGAAGGAAGAAACTAATCTAAATGGCTCCGCTTCCATAAAAGCCAGAAATTGCCAATAGTTTATCAAATGATAGCAAGATAACGAAGGTTCTAGTAGGTCTCTTTCGGGTTGGATTATTTTGAATTTTTTGTGTTTTTTATTGGTGGTCTAATAGAAGTCATTATAGTTTGTTTTGAAAATCACAATTTTAAAGTCACAAACTTCATAAGCCCATTTATTTTTAAAGGTTTGTTCATTTTGCTTGTGACAACGAAATGGAAACATTTGGCACTTATCGCTGCGTTCCCTGTCGTAAAGGACCTCTCGTTGGTGGAGATGAAATGCTTTCGTGTGCAATGCTTCCAGGTTCCAGTTTTGGAGATTTTTCTGATGACGAACTTGGCGGGGTTCCTACAACCTCTAAAAAATTGGAAAATTTTTTGCAACAAACTACCAACAATCCTTCCACTTTAAACAAATCTTTTTCTCAACAAAGTACAAGCGAAAAAATTATTGTTGATCAATACTCAAATGTTTCGACACCCCAAGATCCGTCACCCTCAACTACAAGTAACAGTATTCGGGGTTCGGAGACCCCAACACCGCAACCTGATGAAATTTATAGTGATAATGATGAATATCAGCCACCAAGGTTTTTTTTGTTTTTAGAAAATTTTAAGAATTTGTCAAGTTTTCGGGACTTTTGGGTATGTTCACAAACCAATTTTTGCGGACCTATTTATGCGGATTTGTAGATACAAAAAGGAAACAGGCCGTAACCAAAATGTTTTATGGGGGAGGGGCAATGCGAGAAAATTTTGAGAATTTTAGAGCCGTAGGCCTAAAAATTCACTTTTTCCTCAATCTCCTCCCCCAATTTCCCCATTTCTGGGGAGGGGTATAAACTGTCTGATGTGAGCGTGTGCTTGGTTCAGTAAAAATTAGTGTCCGGTAAAATCGATTTTTTCGGGTCCGGGTTTGCAACTAGAGCCGGACCAGATCCGGACGGATTTCTTCGGAAAAATTCGGTCCGACCCCGGTCACTAATTAAAATTATGAAAGCTTCTGACCATTATTTTCCGCATTAACATTTTCGCAAAACAGGTTGACCCACCATTTTTTATTTTTAGTTCAAATCGTCGTGTTGAATCTACATCTCGTGGAATGCGAGGAAAATCTTCAAGTTATACATCAGAATATTCACGCCATACGCCAATGAAAACTCGTTCAGGAGGCAAACCGCCAGTTGTTTCTTACATTTCTAAATTTAGTGAAACTTATGTTGAAGCACCTGAAAAGAAAATCTCAGGCAAGAAAGGACGTGGAAAAGGTGCTAAAGGTTTGTGAAAAAAATTTTGAGGGATTTTTGGGAAATTTTGTAATTTTTGAAATGCGTTTTTGAGCAAAATCCAAAAAAATATTTTTTGGTTGATAAAATAAGCCACGAAGCTTATTTATGCGTTTACATGTGGAGTGGGAACGTTAATTTCCGATCTTCACTAAAGATCGGAAATCTTAAAAGGACCCTGATTTTGGATTGAGATTTCGACTATATTTTTGAACTTGAGTCAAGATGAAATCAAGGAACACGGAAAAATGTTTTGATCTAGACTTTAGATTTAGGAAAATCAAGGTCTGGATCAAGGTTGATCTCTATATTTTACTATATACTTCTTACATTACCTTGCTGCTTCGGGATTTACAGGTTTTTTAAAGGAAATGGACGTAGACTCCATTGCCTCCCCACTTGTTTAAGCCTATACGAGGACTTACTAACAATAAGACCGACTTGACTGCTTTAGAAAATTTTTAATTAAAAAAAATTTTTTAAAGGAAATGGACGTGGTCGTCGTAATACAACAGGAGGTGGTGGTAGAGGTGGAAAATTGGTTAGTATGTATACTACAGCCTTAACAAACTCTTCAAATAAACTAAATTCTCAACAACAAAAAAATGTTTCTGAAGATGGAGGAAAAAATGGAGGAGGAAATTCGACATCAAAAAATTTGGGAGAACAAAAGAAAGATGATTATATTAGAACAGCAATAGTTACAAGTGTTGGAGATAAATTTATGATTGAATATCCAAATTTGTGTTTAATTTGTGGAAGCATTGGAAAAGGATTGGAAGGTTTCTTTTGAGGGATTTATGGGTTCTGGGGATTTTTTGGCTCTAGTCCCGTTTGTGAGTCCACTGAAGCTTCAAAGGTCCAACGGGACTAGAGTTCGAACTTTTCACATAGCTGCAAGAGCGTAGCCAGGAGATCGATTTCAGTGAGGCTATTGCCCCAGAAGCCCCCCCCCTCTGGCTACGCCCTTGCGTACCTGGGCCCCAAGTTTTTTCTTTCAAGCTTGCCCGATCGGGATTACTGGGCTAAAATTGGGAAACCCCGAAAACCCGAATTTTATCAAAATGCCAGGTTTTTGGATTCCCGGACCGAACCTCAATCCGGGCCAGGGTTTGAACTTGGACATTGGACTCATAGAGCTTTATTGGGCTCATAAACTGTATCAGGGCTGCTTTCTGAAATTAAAAAAAATTTTTTTATAAAATAGGAACAATGATTTCTTGTATGGCCTGTGCTCAATCTTTCCATACTTATTGTGTGTCTATCCACGAAAAGGTTTTTTTTTAATTCTTATATTAAAATCCTGAGTTTTTTTAAGTTGAGTATGACTATAATTAAAAGAGGATGGCGTTGTTTAGGATGTACTGTTTGTGAAGGATGTGGTAGTGGTGATGACGAGGTTTGTTGTTTTTTTTAATAATTTTTTTGTATTGATAACGTTTAATTGTGAGATAACATTAAATTTTCGGTTTTACCAAATTCCTTGCTTGATACCAAATTCCTTGCGGTTTGCTTTGAAACGAACGACCTTATGAGTTATGAAAATTAATATTCTCAATTTATATTGTCTCATAAGAGTTTGTCCACCTCTAGATTTCGACACCGGGCCCGGGACCTGATTTTTTGTGTTAGCAGCCCAGAAAACAAGTATGTTGATAAAATCCAGTTTTTCGAGGTTTCCGGATTTTAACTCCAAAAACTCCGGCTCCATACAACTTGAAAGAAAATCCCCCGGATATCGGATTGGTTAATTTTATAATTTTAAACTTTGGTTTTCTTATTCCACGTTTTTCTAATATTTTTCTAAAATCCCAAAAAAAAATTTCTTTTCTTTTTTTTTCAGTCCAATTTATTACTTTGTGATGAATGTGACATTTCTTATCATACTTATTGTTTGGATCCCCCATTAGATTGTATTCCATTGGGGTCTTGGAGATGTAAATGGTGTTCAGCTTGTATTAAATGTAATAATCAAATAAAAACATCAAAAGGAAAATTACCAACAACAGAATATTTACAACGTTGTGAAGGGTATTGTGAAATTTGTTATTCAATGAAAAAATGTCCAAAATGTTTATGTTTTTATGAAATTGGGGATTTAATGATTAAATGCCAGAGATGTTTAAAGTTGGTTTTTTTTAGATTTTTTTTTTGTAATTTTTTGTAAAATTTTTTTGAAAAAACTTTTTTAAATTTTTCGGAAATTTTTTGAAAATTTTGAAAAAAATTTTTTTGAGAAAAATTTTTTTCTTTTTCAAGATGGTTCCATGGACGTTGTGAAGGGCATGGAAGTGAAGAATCTGCAGAAAATGCTGCTGATAATGCATTTAGATGTTCATTTTGTAGACCGCAGTCGTTTCGTAAGCAATTTTATTCTTCCAATTTTTAAAAATTTTTTGGTTGGGTTTTTTAATTAATTTGTAAGGTTTTAACGGCATTAATTTTTATTTTACTTTAATAAAATTCTTATTTGGTGATATGTGGTTTTTGGTTTTTAGTAGAGGCAAAATCGCATTACCGGGATCGGGATTCGGGATCCCGGAAAATCCCGTCGGGTTCCCATCCCGCGCTGACCTCTAGTTTTTAGTTCTTTTTTGGGTTATGGGGTTAAATGCCCTGGGTTCGAATCCTCTTATGGGATATAACTAGAAAACATTTTTTAATTCTATTTTTATTTTTTAAGTCTTTATAACTTTCTGATTTTCTTTATTAAAAATTTTTTTTCAAGTTGATGCTTTAAACATTCCTGTTGTTGTTGACAATGTAATGGTTAGTAAATCGATGGCTGAACAATTAAATGGTGGAATGAATAATTTCCGAAGACTTGGATTTATTGGTGGTGGAATTAATGAAAATATAAAATCCTTCACGGAGCAAGGTTTTTTTAAATAAAAAATTTTTTTTTGAATTTTTTTAAAGATGACGAATTAACCGAAGAAAATCAACAACATTTTCGTGAACAATTTTCTCCCTCATCAATTTTGTCAATGCGTGGGGGACGTGGTGGTGGTGTTTGCAGTACAAATAATAGTATTTATATGAGAGGAGGAATAGGCCCAGGACGTCGAGTTTTGAAATTGGGAGTTGGAGGATTTACTGTGAGACACACAAAAAGTGCTGTAGGGGGAGGAATTAATAGCCGTTCGCAGTCTTTTGGTGGTTCATCTGCTGGATTCTCTCCTCACCTAGAAGATGAACAGGGGCAAATTGAGGATGATAAAAGTTTGGCTACTGGAGTTACTTTGGGTGGAAAGCCGAGAATGAGACGTCCTAGAAAATCTAGAAGACCACAATTGGAAGATGCTTATCCTGCTAATATTCAGGTTTTTTTAAATTATTTTGGGGAAAATTTGTAGTTGAATAGAAAATTGAAACGTGTTGGTTAGGATCTCAGTGAGTGGGGTATGACAAATATGTACTGAAAATTGACAAAT